ACGGCAACATCTCGAGCTTCTCCTTGTAGGAGCCAATGGAAAACAGGATGTTCTTCTTGGGAAGACGGAAGCCAGTAGACAAGAGCGCCTTGAGGTACGCCTCATACTTGTCTCGGCCGAACGAAGCGACTTCACCGGTCGAGGCCATCTCAACACCCAGCACGGGGTCGGCACCCGAGAGCCGCGAGAAGGAGAACTGCGGGACCTTCACACCCACGTAGTCCTTAGGGATGTTCACAGGCGGGTATTCCTGGAAGGGAATGCCGATCATGGCCTTGGTGGCCATCTCGATCAGATCAACGCCCATGACCTTGGACACGAAGGGGAAAGACCGGGAGGCACGGACATTGCACTCAATGACCTTGATGTCGTTGTCCTTCGCGATAAATTGGATGTTGTAAGGCCCAGTGACATTGAGCGCGTTACCGATCTTGCGGGTTGCTTCCACAATGCGACGCACAGTCTCCGGGCTCAAGTCCTGCGGGGGCAGGATGAGAGTGGCATCACCCGAGTGCACACCGGCGTTCTCCACATGCTCCGAAATGAAGTGGCCAACCATGACACCATTACGGGCAACAGCATCCATCTCAATCTCCTTAGCGTTCTCAATGTACTTGGTGATAACCACCGGGTGCTCTCGCGAGACATCTACAGCCTGGTTGAGGTAACTCTCCAGATCATGCTCTGAGTAGACAGTGTTCATGGCAGCGCCAGAAAGCACATATGAGGGCCGCACCAGCACTGGGTAGCTGACCTTGTCACAGAACTCGCGGGCCTCATCAATGCTGGTCAGCTCCTTCCAAGCAGGCTGGTCCACACCGATGCGATCCAGCATGCGGGAAAACTTGTATCGATTCTCAGCGCCGTCAATCATCTCGGGAGAAGTACCCAGGATGTTGACATTGAGCCGGTGCAGAGGCAGGGCAATGTTATTCGGGGTCTGACCACCCATAGACATGACCACACCGCTAGAAGACTCGAGCTGGTAGATGTCGAGGACAGTCTCCAGGTTGATGTTCTCGAAGTAAAGACGATCAGCCTCGTCGTAGTCGGTACTAACAGTTTCCGGGTTGTAGTTAACCATGATCGTCTTGTGGCCCTGCTCACGAAGGGTGCGGATGGTGCGCACAGAACACCAATCAAATTCGACCGAAGAACCGATGCGGTAGACACCAGATCCCAACACCATGATACCGTGATCGTTGAAGGTCAGATCGTGCTCGGAGGCATTGTAAGTGAGGTACAGGTAGTTGGTCACTGCCGGGAACTCGGCTGCAACAGTATCAATCTGCTTGACAATGGGGATGATGCCGGCTTCCACACGCATGCGGCGCACCGCAAGTTCGTTGGAGCTCAGGAACTTGGCGAGCTGACGGTCGGAGAAACCCAGCTGCTTGGCCTGGCGAATCATGGGCAGAGGGACAGAAGTGGCATTGTAGCCAGTCATAGCCTTGCCGAAGTCGCTGAGACCCTTGAGACGTGAAAGGAACCACTTGTCAATGTTGGTCAACTTCCAGATATCATCAACACTGTACCCGGCGGCCATAGCATTGGCGATGGCAAACAGGCGTTGATCGGAGGGAGTCTGGAGCTCGCCCTTGATGGACATGAGGGCGTTCGTCTCGTTAAAACCAAGGTTGTGGAAATCAACCGATCGAATGGCCTTTTGGATGGCTTCCTCGAAAGTCCGACCAATGCTCATGACTTCACCGACACTCTTCATGGACGAGCCGAGCTGGGTCGAGACACGGGTGAACTTCTTCAGATCCCAGCGGGGGATCTTCACCACGCAGTAATCGAGAGATGGTTCGAAGCAGGCGCAGGTGCTCTTGGTTACAGAGTTCTTGATCTCGTTGAGGGGGATACCCAGACCCAACTTGGCGGCAATGAAAGCGAGCGGATATCCGGTCGCCTTGGAGGCAAGGGCCGAAGAACGAGACAGGCGAGCATTGACCTCAATGATGCAGTACTCCTTCGAGAACGGGTTGAGGGCGTACTGGATGTTACATTCACCGACCACACCCAGATGGCGGATGACATTGACGGCGGTAGTCCGCAACATATTGTAGTCCTCGTCGGAGAGGGTCTGAGAAGGAGCCACAACAATGGAGTCACCGGTATGGATACCGAGAGGATCGAAGTTCTCCATGTTGCAAACCGTAATGCAGTTGTCTTGAGCATCACGCACGACCTCGTACTCGATTTCCTTCCAACCCTTCATACTCCGCTCAATGAGCACTTGCGGGCTGACGGCCAGAGCCTTGGTGCAGAGCTCCTTCAGTTGGTCCATGTTCTCGGCGAAACCACTGCCGAGACCACCCAGCGCATAGGCCGCACGCACAATGACGGGGAAGCCAATGTTCTCAACCGCTTCAAGCGATTCCTCCAGAGTGGACGCAGAAGCAGACTTGGCACACTTCTCATTGATTGAATCCATGCTGCGGGCGAACAACTCACGATCCTCGGTGGTGATGATTGTGTCGATCGGGGTACCCAGGACCTTGACACCAAGGCCCTCGAATTCATCCTTGAGCTGGATACCAACCTGCAGAGCAGTCTGGCCACCGAAAGTGCAGTAGATGGCATCCGGGCGCTCGTGCTTGATCACCTTGCGGACAAAGTCGGCATTGACAGGGAGGAAATAGACCTTGTCAGCCAGACCCTTGGAGGTCTGAATGGTGGCAATGTTGGGATTGATCAAGATCGTGTAAATGCCTTCCTCCTTCAGGGCCTTGATGGCTTGACTGCCAGAGTAATCGAACTCTCCGGCCTGTCCAATGCTCAGACCACCGCTGCCCAAAACGAGGACCTTCTTCACGGACACTCTGGGAGCGGCCTTGATGTTGTCAGCCTTTAAGCCACCGGGGAAAGCAACGGGCTTGTTGAGGGCCTCGGAAGATGTCAGGGTGTTTTGGATGGTGTTGATGAAGACGTCGAAAAGGTACTCGGTATCCCGAGGACCGGGAGTGCTTTCGGGGTGGAACTGAACACTGAAGTAGGGACGGCTGACGTGGCGGATACCCTCGTTGCTGCCATCGTTGGCGTTGACGAACAGCTCTTCCCAGTCTTCGGGCAGGCTGGTAGCATCGACAGCGAAACCGTGGTTCTGAGAGGTGATGTGGCACTTGCCGGAGATCATGCTCGTGCAGGGGATGTTGTGGCCGCGGTTACCAAACTTCATCTTGGTGGTTTGGGCACCGACCGAGCGAGCAATCAACTGGTGGCCCAGACAGATACCAAAAACGGGCACCCGATTTTCTGCCATGACCTTGGATAGGTTGCTGGTGGTGATCGACAATGTTGCGGGGTCACCGGGACCGTTGGACACGAACAGACCGTCATAGTCCTTTCCAGCGAGGGTTGGGAAATCGTAGTCCCATGGAACAACCATGACCTCGACCCCACGGGCAAGGAGGCAGCGCAATTGGTTATACTTCAAACCAACATCCAAGCACAGAACGCGAACGGGACGACCCGAGGGGTGTTTGAGGGCAACGTTCTCTGGGGGGAGAAGAGACGGGGCTCACGGATCGAAACTGTCGGGACCAAACATGTCAGACTATAATCTCGTGGTAATAACTTGACTCGCATCACTCACCCTCGTTGACAAGGTTCTTTGTGTTTGGATCCACCCATTCAATTTCCTCAAAGTGCGACTTCCAGGTAGCGGTATCCAGGGCGCCGGGGATGGCGCCAGGCTTCTGGAGGAGCATGCGGCCCAGCATGCTACCCTTCGTACGGATGCGCTTGGTCAGAGCACGAGTGTCGACACCGTGCATGGCAGGCACACCCTGCTCCTTGAGCCACTGGCCCAGCGAAGATTGTGCGAGGAAGTGAGAGTAGTCCTCGCCAGCGTAGGTGGCCACCACTAGACCAGCGACATGGATCTGGCTGGACTCGAAATGCTTCGGCAGGGTCTTGAGAAGCTCGTCCATCTGGTCTTGTGCGGGCACGCCATAGTTGCCCACCAGCGGGAAGGTGACGACTAGGATCTGCCCGCGGTAGGAGGGGTCGGTGATGGACTCCGGGTAGCCGACCATGCCGGTTTGGAAGACCAATTCACCAGCAATGCTCTTCTCGGCACCAAAGTTGTACCCTTGGTACACGGTGCCGTCCTCGAGCTCGAGCGCCGTCCGGCGATCACAGCCACCGCGGACGGGGATCGAGGCCGGCGGGATCACCGCACCATTGACGGAGTCCATGGGGGGCAGTGGCTGTAGATCCTTGCTGGCGGGCAAGGCCACCAGGCCACCAGACAGAGGGCTCGTGGGCAGAGCCGGCTCCTCGTGGGTGGGCTGCGACATCGCAAGCGGGCAGCGAGGGGACAAGTCCTCTCGGGGACGCGAAGTTGGGAGAGTATGCGTCACTCTACACACCACCTTCTGCAATTGTGACCAAAAAAAACCAAAAAAAGAGGGAATAAGGGGGGCAAAATAAAACCAGAACTGCACAGCTACAAAGCTGAGATGCAGAAAAAAAGAAAGAAAATTTTTGAGCGGGAACTCCACCGTCATGGCCGAACCCGGAGGCGGTGAGGGGCGCGGTGAGGTCGAGGATTTTGCTTATCTGGTTTGCGCCAGACCAGCCCGACCATCTGATAATGCAGGTCAGCTCAGGCGGGCCAATGGGACTGTTGGGCACGCTCGTTCACCGTTCATTCTGCACTGGGGGCATGCCTGTAGCTAGCTAGATGGTGGGCCTCGCAAAGGGACAGCCACAACTAGCATGGGCCTCCTCCTAGCGATCAAAATAGAGAAGTCACGGGTCGAATCATACCAACTGTTATTCATCAATAAATCTGGCAACCATTCCGACGCCTATTCCTCATGTACACCACTCCTACTGGGAAGTCCATACTTCTAGTGGGGATGCCGATCACAGTCTAGATCCAACACTAACTACATAACTAACTCTGATCACCTGCCCTGCACCTTCTCCTCTTCTCCTCTCCTCCACTGCTGCTGCTCTCTTCTCTCCTCGCTCGTCCCTCTTCCCTCTTCATGGCCATTCTGGTGTCCCTCGGCGCGTCCCTGGGCGTGTTCTCAGCTGCCATGCTCTAATCCTCTCCCTTCTCGAGTACCTAGGCCGCGCAGCAGTAAGGCACTTGCGATGTCTATGCTAGCCTCCCTGCTCCGTCCCAAGGGACAGCACAGGCATGTGGAAAACTCGCCGTGGTCTCCCCCTATGCGACCAGAGAGGCCTCGCCATGGCTTCGAGCTGCCACCCGACCGAGTATCACGCGACGCCCCCGCCGAATCGATCCTCGCCACGTGCCAGAGCTCAACAATGCGAACGAGAACTTGGAGGACACCTGGATTGAGGAGGAGGAGGAGCCGGAGGAAGAGGAAGGAGAAGAAGAAGATGGCCCGCTCGAGTCGACGCCTCTCTTGCCCATCTTCTCTGCATCACATCTGGGTAGGACCGTATGCGGATCCCTGCCAACCGCGTGAATTAACCCGTGATGGTGTTTAGATGCTCTGCCTGTGTACGACATCACTCTTGCCATCCGTCCATTGATTGCCGCCCGCTGCGAAACCACGCTGTCATGGGAGCAACTGCGCTCGCCCCAGGTCTCGCAGTTCCTGGTCAAGCCCATTCAGCAGCAGATCATGGCCGATCACTTTTCACGCGCTACCCTCTATGCATTGATGGCCAACTGCCTGCAATTCCAGAAGGAGATTCACCTCCATCCAGAAAACAGCGGAACCAGCCAGACTCGAGCAATGGTAAGCGAGCTGCTTGCGATCAAGTTGTTGAAGGACTACAGTACTCGCGAATTGATCGACGCCCTCTCCTACGAGTTTTATCCCCTACAAGGCCAGGATCCGCCTCCGGGGCTGCCGCAGGGTCCTCAGCGCAAGCGGTTGGCGGGAGCTGGCCGGGTTTCCTGTCTCGAGGTGGCCATTCGTGCCCAGGCAAAACGATTTCTAGCTCATCCAGTGGTGGTGCAGCAATTGGAGGCCATTTGGGCCGGGACGATTGTCTTTCATTCGGCCGCTGATAATCTACATCGTCGAGTAAAACGGGTTTCCACAGAAGGACACAACTATGGAACAGCCGCTGACCACAATGGTGACTCGACACCAGACTCTCGGACGGGGTCCTTCCGGCGCTCAGTGACTCTCTACAACCCACGAGATGCGTCGCTGTTCAAGCTTTCGCGACTGAGAGTCCCGCGCTACCGGCAGTTCCTTTCCACTCTGTCCTTCGCCGTGCTTCTCGGACTGTTCCTAGCGGTGTTGCAACAGCACAGTGGGCAGATCACGTCGCTGGAGATTGTGTTTTGGCTTTGGAGTGCAGGGTTCATGCTGGATGAGATTGTTGGTTTCAATGAGCAGGGCTTTAGTCTCTACCTGATGAGCTTTTGGAACTTGTTCGACCTGGGGATTCTGCTACTTCTGTTCTGCTACTACTGCCTTCGGATCTGCGGCGCTTTTCTGCCTGGCCCCGATGGGATGAGGCTTTCCGACCTAGCATACGACGTTCTTGCAGCCTGTGCAGTTCTGTTGTTCCCTCGACTTTTCTCCATCTTGGACCACTACCGCTATTTCTCCCAGTTGCTGATAGCCTTTCGCATTATGGCATCTGATCTGATCGCCGTTTTTGTGCTGATTATTGTCGCATGCAGCGGATTTTTCTTCGCATTTCTGTCCTTTGGGGACAATCACTCTCCCAGTGAGATCGCGTACGGCTTGTTCCAGATGCTGATGGGGTTTACGCCCACTGCGTGGTCCATGTGGGATGAGTACAACTTCTTGGGCAGGGCCATCTTGACCATCTTCCTCTTCATCTGTCACTTCGTGGTAGTCACCATCCTCATCACCGTGCTTACGAACTCGTTCATGAGGATCGTTCAAAATGCCAACCAGGAGCACCAGTTTCTCTTTGCCGTCAACACGATCTCGATGGTGAAATCAGACGCGCTTTTCTCCTATGTGGCTCCCGCGAATATCGTCGCCTGGCTTGTGACGCCGTTCCGATATCTGATGCCTTTCCGTCAATTTATTCGGCTCAACAGAACTATCATCAAGATCACACACTTGCCGATTCTGTTTACTATCTGCTTTTATGAGAAAACCATTCTCACCGCGCGGGCGGTTGAGCCAATGGACCTGATCGAGGCCACATCACGCGCAGAAGCAGCCGGTCTCGCTCACAACTGGCAGCCTCGGCGATTCCGCGCATTTAGCACCAGGGCCCCGCGTCTAGTTCGTGAGCCATCAGTGGCGACATACCACAAGGACCAGGCGCTAGAAGAAGTGTTCCGGGAAAATTTCGGAGGTAGTCAGGTCCGTCGTCGTCCGAGCACACTCCATGGGAATCGGAGCAGCAGTGTGATCAAGGACTGGATGCACGAAATGGGCTCGGGGCCTGTTCATCCTCCGGATGAGCAGGACCCTTCAGAGGTGGACCGACTCGAGATGTTCCCGCGACGATTCAGGTTCCCACTCCGCCGAAACACATTAACCAGGCCTCGAAATTTCACCGAAACAACCCACTCAGTCGCCTCTAACCCTGAAGAAAGAATCAGCCATGCTGACAGCCCTGCGTTCCAGCCTCGGCGTCCCAGAGGGCTTCGATCACCCACGAAGGCGAAGGCGCGGGAGCCTTCTCAGCACACCGACATGGAAGGAGATGATGAACTCACCAGTGAGGATGGGGATTCGCAGGATGATCAGCACTCGACTAAGAAGGCCATTGACGACGATGCCGAGCCAGTTGAGAGCACTGTGAAAACCAGTCCGAAATTTTACACCTCTCGTCCACCCACTTCCCGATTGGCGTCTCGCCGGAATAGCCCTAACCGGCGTCCCAGACACCAGCGAACTGTCTCTGGCGTCACCATGCTCTACAATCCTGTGGAGTCGGCGGACGAGAAGAGTGATGGTGAGATGACACATTCACGACCCAACGCCGACTCATCAGATGACGATCCAGTCCCCCTGGTTTCCACTTCTCTCGATCGAGGCACCATGAAGAGACGGCCAGGGGACGCAGGCCGAATTGTCTCGCAAGGACTCAGCCCGATCTCCGTCCCCATTATGGAACCTCTTTATCTGCCCAATCGTCCTGCCACAGCACGACCCCGACCATCCCTCCTGTTCGACCTGGGATCAGATCTCGGCGACAACAAAGCAGTGGCTGGTGGCTTTGCCGGCATTCTGCCCTCTAGCTTTAATACGAATCTTCCCCTTGCCACAGGAGGCCTGCGTCGCTCCGACATGTTCAGCCAGCCACAAGATATGCTCAGCAAACTGGTCCTGGCTCGCATGAACAACATCGAAGAGGGATTCCGTGAGGTCATCAAAGAGGTCAAAGATCTCCGCCGCGGCGGATCTAGTCGCAGTCGGAGTCGAACGGATGAAATCCGGCCTGCCACCCGCGAGCGGAAGAAGCGCGGCGAGCGAAAGGAGCAGAAGAAACGCTCGCAGACGTCTCAGGACCTTCCAGCGGGCAATGATGGAGATCCATCCCGGGAACAAAATGCGCCCGACAATGCGACACGGCCGTCTTAACTAGTTCTTTTCCCCTTCGGTTTGTCCCCGGCGCTTTTGTACAAGACTACAGGCGTGGCTCTCTTTCGGATTTGATGCATAGCACATGGACTTTTTTGTCATTCCCCCGTTGCATCGTACATATTGCACAAGCTGTCCATACACGAATGCCAGCCCTCCTTGAATGCAAAACGGTCCTCACACCGACCCCCGCGGCACCGAGAATCCCTTCCGTGGCGGCTGGGCCGTCTTATTGCCCGCGTCGGTCTGCAGCGAGTCGCCTCCCCGGAAGGCCTCCATTTCTTCATTGCTGGCGACGTACGCGCCTCTCTGGGGAGCCATCATCCGGAAGAGCAGCCATGTGCCTCCGATAACGCCGGCGATACTGAAGATGGCGATGTTGCGGGATCTGAGACATGAGTTAGAAAGTTACCTGAAATCCATGTCTGAAGTATACACACTTCATCGCTGCCCCGCGACTCCGGTGTATATCTCCTGTCATGGCGGCCATTCTGTAGAGATAGATTTGAGTCTGTCTGTCTGTCTGTTCTGGGTCAATAATGGAGTTGTTGTTCAAGAGAAATCCAAGAGAGGGAGGGGGGGTTAGCATAATTCATGGTGTGGCAGGAATGACAACCCCATGAGCGCATTCCCTCAGCAGTTGATCCATGGACATGGAAATACATAGTTCAGAAAAGCCCCACTCCGCGTGCAGGTACCAGGTACCTCCACCAGCCACCCGTCACAGTGCCCCTCCCAGGTACCCAGAACATCTCTCCGGTAGGGCTTCAGCCTCACTGCTGACTCGACTCACGGGGCTCAACAATGCAGGCTGGCCCTGCGCCTGATTGGCCCTGGCTAGGCCACCACACTCTCTCCTGCTCTGCTTCTTCTCCATCTCCTAAACATGTCCGCGGAACCACCCCTCGTAGCCACAGATGAGCACCTCCTGCGATACTTCGACATGACATCGGCAGAGAAAGAAGCACTGGAACTGGCGCAGCAGCAGGAGCAGGAGCTGGGCCAGCCACAGTCGCCCGTGACTCTCCGTTCTCCCACTACACCACGTCACGCCATGAATCGTCCCGCCAACGTTTTGCCGTTACTGCTGCTCGATGGCGCCGACACTCTGGTGTACATTGACCCTCCCCCACAGCTCGCGGACAATACCACATGGACGTTGCCAGGCCAGACAATTCCCCACCGCGTTCACAGCGAGAAGCTGCTGAGTTCTGGCTCGTCCTTCTTTAAGAGGGCCATCCAGCCGCGCTATCAAGCCCAGGTGCGTAAGCGGCGCGGGTTGGTCGACAGGCTGCCCAACGGCATCAAATATGTGATCGATCTGACCCCGCCCGACGCGGATGAGGATGCGATTATCTTCATGACGGAGCTGTCATGTCCGATGGCCATTCGCACCTGGGCGCTGCAGCAGACCCTCTGGTGTCTGCCGCCCGAGTGTGTCGGAGGCAAAGACGAGATGACCTGGCCCGAGGAGAACGAAGAAGACCCGCTCGGCCCGTTTTCCATGTCTGATGATGATAACATGTTGTCCCCCGAGACTGCCGCGAGAGACTTTCTTGCGTCTCGCATCAAGAAGTCCGGCTTACCTGTGGAATACTCACCCCATCGGCATCGAGAGGGAATCGAACACGTCCTTCATGTTTTGGAGGGTCTAAACCCAAGAATCGATACCCCGTGCAAGATCTGGACTTTCTACGGGCTGGCGAAGATTTTTGACGTCGTGACGGTTCCCGCCATAAGTAACTACCTTATTTCTTGGTTCTACGAGTCGAACAACACGAAGATCATCCAATTCCACCCGGAGATCGCCTACCGGGTGGGCCTTGGACTCCAAGCCCCTGGCCTGTGCCGTGATTCGTTTGTTGGGCTTGTGGCGGACGAGGCTCTCTTTTGTACCTTGTCCGAGCGGCGAATCAGCAGCCCATGGATCTCAATCGATACCAGAGCCTCACCTGCAGCCGGATTCGTGACTTCCTTGATGATACCGAGGTGCAACGTATCGAGTACGCTAGTAAGAGCTTTGCGGACCATGTCGTCAACCGCTTTCTTCACTTGGTTGGAGAAGAAATGAGCTGGCTGAACGGTTTGGCCGAATTCCAGAAGCTTACGAGTCATCTCAGACAGTGGCCCTGTGATCGAGACATTGTGCTGATGCTCATTGTGACGTTGAAGGACTACATCAGGAGCAGATTGTACGCCGAACTGCGCAAGGCGAGAGACACGGCGCGGACAACGCCTGCGATCCCATCGGAGTCTAATGATACACAGGGAGAATTTGTCCCCTACAACGATGTGAATCGCCTTGGCCCCGGGGTGATATACAAACGGCGACATATCCTCCAACGAATTTTGGGCAGAGATTTTTGGGGCAGCCTTCTCGGGGTCACCTTGAGCGGGGATTCAGAGCACCAGTCAATTGTTAATCCCGGACTCGGAAGGCATCGGACAATTCTTGAGCTGGGTAACGGTCTACCGGCGTTCAGAGATCAGGGATTTGCGCGCATTCGTCGCGTTAGTATTGACGAGGTCTGGTCACGAGTCGAGGATTTCAACAAGACCGTTTATCGGCAAGTTGCTTGTGGCCTTATGTCAACCACTGAGGCTCCGCGGTCGAGCTATGCCAATCCTCCTGCTATGCCGACATGGAACCTAGTGACAGATCTCCGCCGGCCGGGACATGGCTATCAATCCAGTCAGGCGGATACGGGCGGTGATTCATCCTGGAACTCTGAAACTGCAGGTGAATCTGTTGGATCCCCAGGACCAGCTCTAATCAACGCCGTCCCGACCATGACTTTGGTCACAGGTCTGCAGCGTCCGAAGTCCGTTGCTGGATCAAGCCCTGCAGCGGCGGAGGGGGCCCATGCCGTCAGCCCATTCTTCCCCTTGGATCTTTCAGGCCCGAGTGCCCAACCCCAGGACCGAGCGCCAGGGTCGACCACGAACGATCTCCTCGCTCTGAAATGCCCACTGGACGAATGGCGGATCAGAGAGCGGGTTGTGTTTGAACTACGGGCCTTCTTCGACGAAGTCTCCAAATACTTGAACAACTATGCGCAGGATATGCTGTTCTCCGAGGAGATATCCCTGGTCAACTTCAGACACTTGAACACCCTCTTCGTCTTGACCGACAACGAATACCGATTCCTACCGCTATGGGCGGGCGGTAATGATGACGGAACCGGCGGCGTTTTCACTGACCACGATATCCCCATCATGGAAACGGGAGGGTTCTCAACGCCCGGGCCCGCCGTGCACACCGGCAGTCTCGCCTCTACCCAAGATTCGTTCAGCGAGATCAATCCCAGTGATTCGCAAAGTACGATCCAGCGGGCATCGCATGAGGCGACGGATAGCCATGTCTCAGAGGTTATGTCCGTGGACTCGATGGAATTGACCAATGAGAGCGGACAAGCTCCTGTCCCAGCGGTGAATCACGTCGATGTCATTCTGTCGGATTGGTCCATGGAGGATACCGAGGAAGAGCTCGAGTTTGACAGTGACAGCACTCTGATCACGGGGTCTGCGTCTGATGTTGGAGATTTCAATATGGATGAGGATGAGGATGTTGGGTTTGAGCTGGTGGATGAACAACACTGAAAGCTGTCTAATGATTTTGATCTATGATTGATGAGAAACGAATAGCTAATCCACGAGTAATCCCACCAGTATAATATAGTTTGTACCGATCACATGATCGTCCCTCCACCTGATCCGCCTCTGAGCTTCTGCAACATCATCAATACTTTCTTTCATTCTTTCATTCAAACAGCCTGGCGGCCTCATCAGGCAGAGTGGTGTGACTGATCCTGTCCAGAAGCTATACTCTCTTTAACCTTTGAGAGATCCTGAACATCGCCCTCCCCTCTCAATAACACAGAGTGTTTTCCCGTCGCTCAACAGGCCACTGACATCATATCACCATGGCCTCATCCTCAAAGCCACCGAGCTTCCTGCTCTAGTTAGTCTAGTTATGGCGGAAACTAAACGATCCACAGACTAACTATGTCATGTCCAGCTCCTGCGTGGCCCATCGAACCACCATCCTCGCCGAACACTCCTCCCCGGGCACCTCATCCACCGCAGCCTCGTCCCTAGCATCCATCATCCTCCCCAAGATTTCCCACGACAAGTCCCAAAAGCTCACTTACACCCATGAACGCCTGTTCGTACACTACATTGCCGACTCGCCAACAGGCGCGTCCGCCGACGAGCATGGCGGCCGCAGCGAGCCCAGCTCCTTCGCACCCCTGAGCTTCGTAGTGGTCGCAACAGCCGAGCAAGGCCGCCGCATCCCCTTCGCCTACCTCCTCGAAATGAAACGCAAGTTTTTGTCCACATACGCACCCTCCAGCACGGACTATTCTGCTCTCCCGGCCTACGGCTGCGCCGCCTTCAATGCCGAGCTGCGCACCCTCCTACAAACGTACAACACCGCCCCGCCGGCTGACTCGCTCGCCTCTGCGCGGCGCGAGATTGATAGCGTGCGCGATATCATGACGGAGAATATTGAGCGCGTACTCGAGCGCGGCGAGCGGATTGATCTGCTGGTTGATAAGACCGATCGGCTGGGCGGGAGTGCGCATGATTTCCGGATCCGCAGCCGTGGTCTGCGACGGCGAATGTGGTGGAAGAATATCAAGCTGATGGTGCTGCTGGGGATTGTGGTTGTGTTCTTGCTGTATCTGTTTATCGGGGCGGGCTGTGGTCTGCCTGCGTGGGCCAAGTGCGTGGGGCATAAGAAAGAGGACTGAGTTGACGGCGACTCCACCGGTGATATCACTATTATCTTCAGCGAGCGTGACTTTACTTGGCTATTTTGTTCCATTTTCTTCTTCTGCTTCTTCGGATTTTGATTCCCGGGCTCATCGACGAGATACGATACGATTGTCCTCTTCCTCTTTTGTTCCTTATGGCTGTTTTGTTTCATCGCCGCCATGGCACTGCTAGCCCCCATTGGGCTGTACATTAGGATTGACAAGCACTTGGTTGATATTTCCAAATCCTCTCAAATATCATCGTGGAGTCTTACCGTATCCCCGGCCAGGAATGGCGTTGTTATGGTTGGTAGGTCATCCACGGCCCGCCGATATCTCTCCTTGGGCCGGACACGCTCTAGAGAACCCACGAGCATAGTACTCCAGGAAGAAAGCGCTTGATCTGCAGCTAAATATCAGTTTCCAGACTCGCCCTGGCACATCCGCTCCATGGCCGGGCACCACAGCTCTTCGCAGATTCGCCGGAAGCAAAGAGCTAGACACAATAAGCGACTAGAATACCCCAACCACATCTAGTACATTCTACGTCAAATAGGCATGTCTCTCACTATCAAACCCACGACTTCATCGATGCCTCAGGGTGAGTCTGCAAGTGAGCCAGATCCGCCGCGGGTCCGTAGACCGGGTGGAGGTCTGTAGGTTGTTCTACGCCAGTTGTTTAGCTCTATCAACCATATGGTCCGTCTTGGAAAGAGCGGGATTGATGAGATGATAATCTGGCGAATATGATTTCGGGCAAGGGATCTCACTACGATGGAGATTGAGTGGTTGGGCCTTTGTTTGAAAGGGTATTCCTATATGGGCAGTGGTAAGAGAAGGGAAGGAACGCCGACAGCACCATTGACGCCGTGCCAATGGAGCAGCAGAAAAAAGTTGGATGATGTTCCATTCATCGCAAGGCAGCTGTTTATCTTCAGAATCATAGATGATTGAAATTTCGGTGGCCCCAAGTCTATTGACCTTGAGCTTGATATTCAGGAAAGCAATTGCCGATCCGCACACTGGGGTTCATGCCAGCATCTTGACCAACCCGCTGGGGGAATCGAGAATTGAATGAGGTGAAGGGGAGATGAGAAAAGTTCCAGGTCTTTTTCAAGTCAATGTGGGTTTCCCAGTCACGTGTGCATCTGCTAGACTTACCGCCTTGGTGCCTTGATGCCTTTGACGCGGTCTTTCCTGGCCGATCGCGCTTCTGCCGTCGCCTTTTTCTGCTCAGAACACAGCAAGCAGTCTTGTGCACGCGCTGCTCGGTGCCCGAAGCACTGCCCCTTGCTTTCTTTTCTTTCTTTTTGAGCTTCGTTTACCTGACTGTGAAAAGCCCCAGCCTGCTGTCTCGACCGTGGACGTCTTGTCGCGACTACCTCCCGCAACCGCAACCGCAACCGCAACCCACGCGCCGACCGCTAGCCATGCCATGATTCACTAATCTTGGCCCAACATGGTAAAGCACCATGGTCCACCAAAGGGACTTGACACCAGACTGGAGGCCGGAGGTACTGTCGGAGGAGATGACAATCGCCACCCCAGAGGTCTCGCAGCACGGTGCTGATCCCTCCAGCCATGGTCGTAGCTCTCTATCGGCGCAGGGGTTTGATGATGCTGAGCAGGCTGCATTGCTAGCCCACCAAGGGTTGCTGTCACAGCAGTCGCAGATGAGCAATGCCTACCAGCAACACGGATACTTGTATGGAGGCGACCAAGATCAACGACATGTCATGTCTGGAGATGTCAGCCTCACTCCGTCTCTGTTTCCACCACAATATCGCCAAGAAGAGCCATTGCCAACTACACATGCCGCATACCCTGCTTGGCCTGTTTCTCAAAAGAGGCATGCCCAAGCGGCTCCGGTCAGACAGACGCAGACGCCCCCGGTCCGACAGACACAGTCACCTCATCAATTGGCTGCTCACCACGCTGCTCATCACAATGCTTATGGAAGCTCCACGGCCACTGCGTTGGCTGCCGATCAGGCGGCCCTCAATCTAGCGGCACAGACTGCCCATTCAGCATCTCCCAGCTACACTTGGCCAGGAGCAACGCAGCAGCAACAGCCTGCACAATTACACGCTAGGTCCCAACAATCTTCGCAGCGAAGTGGTCTCCCAGTGTCTTCCAATACATCTGCTCCTCGCCCAATTCTCCCGACTACTACTCCTGGACATCCTACGCCGACTCCAGGTCCACCACGGGGGCCCCCAGTTGGACAGACCCGTGTCAATAAGCGCCGGTTGCAGGACAAGCACGCACGCCGCCAGTCAAGCAACAATTTGCGCATACGGTCCGATGTAATCCAGAAAATCAAGCCCGAGGATGCTCTCGTCAAGACCGAGTACGATCCTGCGACGATTGCCCGCGACGTGCTCATCAATTCCGGGAAACACCCGACGGAGAAGTTTTTGAATGAGCACCTGGAGCCCTTGCGCAAGAACTTCGACTCCGTCGACTACCACTCCGACCTGTCTACCTTCCGCTGGGACATTGTCGAGCCGGTTCTCCCACCCGCCGTCCCTGCCGCCAAGGACACAGAGAGTCACGTGTTGGATTCACGTGACCGCTCACTGTCTCCCACGCGTGCCTCTGCAACGCGTCCCCAGTCAAAGGAAACACCTTCTCTTGTGTCCCCTGTCAATCCTCCTTTGTCGCATTGCCACGCGCACCCTCCCCAATTCCTGCCTACGCATTCGACTCAACCTCCGCTGCCAGCTTCGATCCCGAGCCAGCAGGCGAATCCTGCCCCGAAGCCCAGTCCCGCGCAGCCCAGTCCAGCAAAGGCACACCATCCCCCACAATCCAAGGATACTTCGCCGCTAGAGCCTGTGCTTCTATCGTCCGGACCCAGCATGCCTTCCAAGGAGAAGGTCGGTCGCGCGCCGCCCAAGAAGCAGACTGAGGACAATGCCACGGATGACAAGGCCCAAGTTGACCAGGCGCCGCCGATCAATTGGCCGGTCTTTGCGTGCAAATGGACTAAATGCCCCGCGGAACTACACAACCTGGAGACCCTGAACAGACACATTGTGAAACTCCATATCCCGAACAACATCAAATGTGGCTGGGAGGGTTGCAAGAGACAGGACGGACTGCCTGCTAATGAGCTGTGGAAACACGTTCAGGAGAGCCACGTCAGCGCGGTGGCGTGGAAGCTTGGGGATGGACCTAGAATTCATTCTCCTGGTAAGACAGCTTGAAGGACTTGCACACGAGGAAATTCATTCCAGGGATGATCGAGTTTGTTTGATTTCAAGAGTCTAACTCGGATGGTCATATAGAGGAACAGGACAAGCACCGGGCGCCGGACATCGAGACCACGCTGAGCACCAAGACTGGGGGCATGGATCCCATCATTTTGCCTGCTCACAAGAATGCGGTCAATGCATACCTCAAGATCCATAACATCAACGATTCGTATGGACGCGCGGAGGCGCTTTTGCGTGGAGGGATTCACTGGAAGGACCAGGTCGGACCGACCATTGACAAGAGTGGCTACACCCTGTCTACCCCGGCTCGCCAGTGGAAGACTGATCCTAACGAGGGCATCATGGAACTGGTCAACGACGACGAATAAGCATGCTTTGATTTGAGATACCCGGAGGTTTACCAGCATGGCGTTTCTATTTCTGTTTGAGTGCATCACGAAGCGAATGCTTCCCGGCGTTTTTGTATCGGGGCTGGCGACCAGGTCTTTTCCTGGCCAATGGACCATGTCACCGAACCGTGCAGGTTTCTGCAGGGGGTCCCTGTCATTGAGCAGATGCCCGCCCTTACGGCGGATGATTATCAAGTTCAGATCAAACCAGACAGTGCTATCGTACTTGTAAATTGTAATTGATGGAGGATGGGATATATTATCGTTACATTCCGTGTTCGCTCAAGCTGACAGCAATTCTGACCCCAGAGACATCCTCCATTGTATTGTTCCCTAGTAAACAAAAAAAGACCCCCCCAAGATCTAGCTCCCTTGCGCAGCTGCTGACGCGCCTGCGCTCTCAGCCGATAGCGATGCCGCAGAGCCAGCCACCTTGGCCGGCTCGCCCGTCTTTGCCGAGTCCACCTCTTCATCCGAGGCATTGACGTCGAGGAAGTGATAAAGAACAATCATCATCATGGCGCAGGAGCCCAGGAAGATGGCGAGGCGGTAGAGATCGTCGTCGGAGATCATAATGGCGATTGCGCAGCGCGTGCAAGTGATGGGAAGGCGAGTGGAGGACTAATTCGAAATGAGGCGATTGATCGGCCCAGCAGGAAACGGAGAGAGCTGGTAGAAGAGGTGGGAGGAATTCGCGATGCAATCGGCGGAGAAGACACGTCGGCACGATTGTTCCGAGTGATGCTACACCGGATAGTACGACCCTGGGCGGAGAGGGAGAGAGATGATAAGAAAGATTGGAATCCGTTCCGACTAACGGTATGCAGTGTCACTGCATTGGACGACAATGTGGCAGGTAGATGTCGGAGGGAAGGGGAAGGTGGTGGATGGATGGAGCGATAAGCCCGCGTGGAAGCTCTCGGCCGCAGCACCTTACCGTAACGGTAACTGGGAGGTCAACTGCGAGAGCACTAACGCTCACTAAACTACGACTTGTACTTTTGTTCTCGATCGGATCAGTCACTTGGTGCCACCACTTGCCGGTGGTGCAACGAGGGAACTAGCGAGTACCTGACCAACCACTTCACCTCTCCCAGTGCCGCCTGTATCGCCGGGTCACCCGCCCCTCAGTCAGCGTAATACCAACGGTCTCTCCCTCTTTCTGCAACTTCTACTCCTCTCCCTCTCTCTCTCCCATTCCCACTCCCTCGCCGGCCTCCCTCATTTTCTCGGGAACAACTACACACCCTCTCCCGCTCCTAATTATCCATGCGCCTGCCTTCCTGCTCGCCATGACCGATCCACAGGTCCCCATCGCCCTTCCGGGCCCCGCAAAACCCAGTCCGTCGCCTCTGGCCTGCCTCATGTGCCGCCACAAGCACCTCAAATGCGACGGCCAAACCCCCATCTGCGGGCGCTGTGTCCTCAGCGGCTCCGACTGTCAGTATACCAAGTCGCGTCGAGGCTACAAGGGCCCGTCGAAGAAGCGCCGCGCCGATCCGGACTCGCCAGTCCAGACGCCCCTCGACCCAACGGCAACTGACTTCGTTGATATTTGGAACCCCCAAAACGACTTGACCTATGCGACGGCCATCCCACTGCCGTCTTCCGGTTCGAACAGTCCGGGCATGAACGATTTTTCCACGCAGGTTCCGCCCTCGGTTCGATCGAATGCGCCGTTGACCCCGGACTCTTCTTCATTTCTTGGCGGCGATGGCTACTTGCTTGATATCTACTACACCTACTTCCATGCGGCACATCCGATCCTACCGCCACTCCGGCACCTGTATCGCTCTTATTTCCCGCCATTCCTTGAGCAGGTCATGAAATTCATCGGGGCCCATTTCACTCCGGCCGCCAACAGTGATACCTACCGCCCTACGGTTGTCGTGGCCGTCCAGGAACAACCGACGACGGTGGAGAAGGTTCAGGCGCTGCTGTTGCTCGCAATTGTGCTGCACTCGCGCAATGAGCGCGCCGAGGCCGGTGAGTGCCTGTCCGCCGCAGTGGATCTGGCTTTTGAGCTCGGCCTGCACGAGGCCCACTACGCTGTGACGGCCAGCGGTGGCGATCCGATCCGCGCAGAGTGCCTTCGACGTACTTGGTGGGAATTGTTCATCATTGAGGGAATGCTGACTGCGCTTGGATTGCAGCGGGTATACCGCACGAGCTTGGTGCCGCTCGAGGTGCCCCTGCCGTGCGAAGAGCGTATCTACCAGGACTGCCTCACTCCTCCCCCACCTCCGACCATTGCTCAATTTGATGAGCGTGTTTTCGCCGATGATGATCGTGATTTCTCTTCATACTGCTATCGCATTGAAGCGGTGCGGATTCTTGGTCGTGTGGTGGCTCTCCAGGATATGACAGAGGGTCAGCAGGATCACGTCGAGGCTATTGATGCGCGCATTGCCAGTTGGTTTCATCACCTCCCCGAGTCAAAGGAGGAGCTTGTCCGGCCAGACGGGACCGTGGATGAGGTCATGTTCCAGGCGTGTATGATGATCAACGGCGCCGCCATCTATCTCAATTTCCCACGATCCGACCTTCTTTCCTCTCCCGCGGTTGCCGCAGAGGTGATCTGTGGCCACCACGGCCCTATCAGCATACCTGCTTTCTCCCACCACTCCCATGCCATGAAAGCAGTCAAGGCGGCTAGCGAGCTGTCTTCTCTCGCCGCCATCCGCCTACCAGTGGTGAAGCACACCCCGTTTTTCATCTGTGCGCTCACGCTCAGCTCGATTGTCCAGCTGGCCGCCTGCTCAGTCAAGGCCGGACAGATGCCCGATCCTAGTCGCGACCGTCTCACGCTGACCATTGGTGTTTTCAAATCCCTGGCCCGTACTTGGGCGATTTCTCAGTCGATCATGCGGCAGATCAAAGCCGTTGCGCGGGATGTCATGGACATGGGGCTCCGTCCGACCATGGACTCGTTTGATCTGTCTTCCATGCTTGATACCAACCGCTTCTGGGTGCAAGATCCCCCCAATTGAGGATTTGGCGTAGCGAGAGAATGATTTTGACTAGTTATCACTTGTGGTTTACTGGCTTGTTTCAAACCGATCGCGCCTCGGGTGCTACTAGACCGAGACCGTGCGCGGGGTCTTGACTTCCACGTGTCGAAGGATCAGTGATTGCTTCTCCCCACACGGATATTCCCCTATGCTAGACCTGAACACGGTTCACCCTTCCATAGCACGGCGGTACGTCTACGGTGCCATACATACCCCTGTCGTGCTATACTTCGTAGGATGAAGTGGGAATATCGAGAATACTACATCCCTGACCCAGTGTCTCAATTCGATGTTTCAGCGCGGGCAGAACGGATCGACCAGATGGGCAGCGCACCGTTATGGCAGTTGATGCAGCTCGCACGCCTTCCGGCACCTACGCCATGGTACCAAAGCAGTATCTGCTCAGAGACGGCTCAACGCTACCTACATTAGCCAAGTGAGCGAGGCGGAGGTTCATGTATAGGACGGATGTTGGTGGAAAAGCGTGGATGCGGAGGTTCATGACCTAAGAATGGCCTCTTTGAAAAGATGTATTTTCCCATTGTATTTACCAAAACCATGGAGTTTATATAGTCCAGCTAGCTTAATATTATTGTCTGGCAGTTGGATGGCTTCTAAAATCAAGATCATAGTTGAAAGCTGAATGGACAGAGATCGCCTGATGAGCCAGCCTCTTGATTGTTTAAATTATTCTACTACCACACTGGAAGACAATGCGAGCTCAGTAAGAAGATATGAGAAAGGGAAACACCAGTTGGACAGGTCCCAATGGAAAGCACTGAAAGGGGTGTGTGACAATAATGGCCTAACAAAAACTAGTTCAAGTGGATGTGCGTTCTGCTGCAAACTAGCCGGCCATCTCGGAGTTGTTGCCGAACCCTTATGCCCAACGCCTATCCTCTTGAATTGACCAGGGCTGGCTTCGCTCCAAATCCCAGCATACCATATTCTAGATGCAGGAACGGTGCCACGTACCCGCATACCTTTGCTGTCTTGTCGTTCAGCTCTTCGGCGACTACTCCGGGTTATACTTATACATGACTGCCGATGGACAAGAACTAATCCTAGCATTTGCAATACACGACTTTGAAGGGCTGTCCCACCCGTACCGGTATGCCCATTTAATGAGCTTCCTAGAGCTACCCACGATAACGAGCCATGGATTTGCCGATCGAGAAACAACAGTCCAGGACCGAAAGGGCAACCGTCAAACTCATACCCATCGCCAACAGCTCGATGCCGAGCGGAACCAGTACCCCGTTGCATTCAACGGATCTATGTCTGGTCACCTGGATTGGGAACGATGATCCAGAAAACCCGCAAAACTGGCCATTGCGCACGAAGATAATCCGGTCATCAGCACCGCTGGCAGTGATCTTCTCCATCTCATTCGCATCGAGCATCTTCGCCGCCTCGGCGGAGGTCACTGCACGCGAGTACAACGTCTCACCCGAACTAATGAGTCTGGGCGTTGCACTCTTTGTGGCCGGCTTCGCCGTCGGTCCGTTGGTGTTTGCGCCCATGGCCGAAGTGGTCGGCAATGCGCCCCCGATGGCCATCGCGCTGACGGGCTGCGCGATCTTCCAGGTCCCGCTGGCGCTGGCGCGCGACGTCGCCACAATCCTGGTGTGTCGGTTCCTGGCTGGCATGTCCGGCAGCGGCGGACTGGCTGTCGGGTCTGGGGTGCTGGCCGATATCTTCGGGCCGGTCACTCGTGGAGTGGCGGTTGGGACGTCGGCAACGATCTTGAATCTTGGGTCAATCATCGGCCCAATCGTGGGCGCGTACGTTGTGCAGCGGCACGGCTGGCGCTGGACGGCGTGGCTGTCCCTGATCCTCTGCGGCGTTGCCGGAGTGGCCTGCATCGCGTTCCTGCGCGAATCATCGCACAGCCGCATCCTCAGATCCCGGGCTGCGCGTCTGCGCCGCGAGACGGGGAATCAGTCCCTGCGAGCCCGCGCGGAGATGGTCTCGCTGGACCCACGCGTGCTGCTGCGCAAGTACTGCATCAAGCCCGTGCGCATGTTCTCTCAGGAACCCATCCTCGTCGTCCTGACCGTCTACCTGACCCTCGTCTACGGCTCGCTGTATCTCTCGTACCAGATGTTCCCGCGTGCGTTCGAGAACCGCGGCTGGAGCAAACCTACCGCCACACTGCCCTTCATCAGCGTCGGACTGGGTGTCCTGACCGCTCTGGGCGTCTTCTGTATTTTCACGTTGACCTGGTACAAGCCGCGATGGATTGCAGCGCAGAAGGCAACCGAGGAGTCCTCTGAAGCAGCACAGACTAGTAGCACAACGCCAGTTCGCATCGCCCCGGAAGACCGGCTCCCGCCAATGATCCTGGGTGCGGTGCTACTTCCTCCGGCACTGATGTGGTTTGGCTGGTCAGGCGAAGTGCACTGGGCGGCGCAGGTAATCGCGTGCTTCGTGATTGGGTTCGCGCTGCAAATCATCTTCATCAGTGGAGTGGTGTACATCGTTGACGTGTACCCCCTGGACACGGTGTCTGCCATTTCCATTCACGTCATGGTCCGGAGTGTCGTCGCCGCCACCTTCCCACTCTTTGAGGGTCCCATGTACAAGAGGTTGCATATAAACTGGTCTGCGACATTGCTGGCAGGGTTGTCAGCCCTGATCATGGTATCACCCATATTATTGAGGATATATGGCGCGCGCATCCGGAACTGGAGTCGGTTTTCGGTCAGTGGAATATGAAACCATGCAGTGCGGAAACGTAAATATGCATAACTCGAAATTCAAAGGAACAGATTTTCCATTTTTTGGTTCTAATGCTGCCGCCCAAGGGAAAGAAATGTCAACGGGTATCTCGCATTGTGTGTGTGGCTGTTGGATGCGTAAAAGATGCAAAAACAAGGCATAGGTTGAGCCAGAAGATAAGAACAGGGCGATTGCTTGCTTGCGCAGATATGATAACAAACAGCGCCAGAGAATGAAACCAGTAGGATATCACCAGAAAGTAAACGGGAAAAAAGACATAGCCCATAACTCCCTGTCCAATGCTCTTGTCATTTTCAGCATCGTGTCAAGATCTAAGCGAAAAGAAAGGAAAGTATCGTTTGGCAATAAGCCCTGTTCGTGGTGAAGAAACAAGGAATGAAGAAAAGCTTCGGAAGGGTTAAATCCTGCCGCCACGCATTTCCTGCAGTGTAGTGGCTCGGCGCGAGACCACGTCCTCCCGGCGAACGACATTTCGAAGGGCCTCGCTGGCCTGGATTAGTCCGTCAATGCTGATAGCGTGGTTGGTCATCTGGTGGTTGATGTAGGTGTAGAGGGCAGCGGGTGTCGAGCAGGTCGTGAGCAACTGCTGCTCGTTAAGCTTCAGCAGCGCCAACGCAACTTGAAAGAGGAATGTGCTTCCCCCTCCGCTGCCAGATAACTGGTCTTCTGCTGTTTGGGATGTCTTGTCGCCGCCTTCTTTTGTATTTGATGCAGCCGTGGCGGGACCATTGGCCACAGCACTGGACACATTAAGGCACAAGACCACGTCCCACACACGGTACAGTGCCTCAGCCGAGAGACAATCGGTAAACAGAGAAAGAAACCACTGGAACGTCAATGCTTCCAGTTCAATTCCCAAGTCTTCCAGATGGGCCGACAGTCTGGGCAGCAGCTCAGAGATGTACTGCCGGAGGATCATCTGGTCAGCACGAGACGCCAAAAGACCGTGATCATAATAGTGTTGTGGCAGGATGACTTCAATCATCGACGTCAGGATCCAAAAAGCATCCTCAGCTGTAGGCATAATAAGCAGCAGAGACGCCGCAATGAGATTCATGCCCTGGCAGTAGCCCACCTCCGGGTTGCGGCGTGAGTAAGCGAGAAGCACTTCTTTGAGCTTTAGAACGCCGGGTCCCTTGCGGAAGAAGACGTTGTCGGTGAGCGTACGGCGAATGTCCATGTCGATCTGTGCTACCACTGACGAATCCGGTTCCGATCCGCCGACTCCTCGCACCAAATCATCGTAGTAACCGGGGATTCGCATCGCAGATGCGCCGCTGCATTCCGACCAGACCTTGGCCCGGAGAGCAACGGGGATACCACCGAGGACAAGTGACCGGAATTCACGCCACTTGGCACGGCCAACCTTGCCTTTGTTGCCCAGACCAGCAATACCAACGACCTCACCGTCCGCGAGGCTGGCTTCTGGCGTGTCAACCGCCGTCACGGTCCGATCAGAAGCCGCCGCGGCCGCTGCTGCTTCGCCTTCTTTCCTACGCTCAGCACGCACTTTGCGCAGAAACTCATTCCACCTCACCGTGCGGTCACGCTGCAGTGTATCGTGCAGATCCGTCAATTGCTCCAAAAGCAACTTCACCGGCTCGGTATCAGTGGGAGTAGCGCGAGCTGATGTGTGCGCGGTGGCGGCTTCATCGAATGATACACCCGCAAGCTCGGGACGGCCAGCGGTGACTGCTGATGTGGACACCGATGGCTGCGCGCTGGAGTTGACAGACAACGGTACATTTTTGTCGATTGCTCCGGATGAGCTATGAGGACGACTGTCTCCCGCAGTCGTCAAAGAGATGATCGGAGCAGCAGATGGCGTATGAGACAACAGCTCAGTTGGCCGAGACGGCATTTTCAAATAGTCCTGCCAACGACGTAGTCCAACAGACCCACTGTCAGGGTCTTCAGGTGAAACTGGCGGCGAACTTGGTGTTGCAGTGGCTGTTTGCAAAGTCTGGGTGATTTCACTATCATCTTCAGGATCAGACGCGTCGCTGCGCCGACTACCCAGTGTCTCGGTTATGCTCAGAGGGCGACTGCTGCTTTTGAGAGCATTGGCTTCCCGCTGGCGCTTCTTTCGCCGCTGATCATAAATAAACCCGAATCGGTCCGTCAGGAATTCGCCCGACTGAGAGTCGTTGTAGGTTTGCGTGAGAGTTGGGGGTCGGGACTCGAGGGGGAGAATAGCGTCCATCTCAACAGGGCCGAGGTTGGTCGAGCTGCGGTCTGCGACCTCGGGTGGGCCTCCTTGAGAGACACTACCGGCTGCACTTCTGCGCCCAGTCGACGGGTTCATCTTGGGTGTACTGATAGAGCCACTGGTAGAGCGGCCAGGTGGAGGCAGACTGGCATTACTGTTGATTCGCTTCAATGCAGCCACCGCAGACAAACCACCTTTGGAAGAAGCCGCAAATGTAGATGGGGTGGCTTTGTCTTTAACCTGGTTTCCAGATGTCTGATTGCGGCCGGTTTCGGAATCACTCGAGTCTTTTGTAGACTGTCCTGCAAACAACTTGACTGTCCACGAACCCATAGAGCGAGAGGATTTGCGAGAGTGGATGCTAGCATCGTCGCCGTTGGTAGAAGCGCTAGCAAGCCGACGTCCTGATCCATCACTAGGCTGGGCGCCTGGCGGTTGAAACAGCTGCTCATCGAGAGCTTTGCGTCGTGAAGGATTGCTCGGCACTCGGAGGTGTTCAGTGTTTTCTTCTTCAATCTCTCCCATGTCGCTTTTGACGCTGCTTGCACGGCTCGTCTTCCGACTGGCCGAGGTCGAGCCGAAAATATACTCTTGCCAGCCGCGGCCGGAGCTCTGTCGTTTTCGCGTATTGCTTGAATCCGTGCTGGAGCCGCCCATGCGGGTATCATTCTCTGATCTTTGAGCGCGTATTGTAGCCTGGAGATCTCCAGAGTCATTCAGTGGCTCCACGTAGAGCCGAGAGCCAACGGCATCGGTCATCGCCTGGGACATGAGTCCATTGAGGCCCGAGGATTGGCCCGTCTGGTCATTGCTGCTTTCACCGTCCGATCTGTGATCATCTCGTGGCGAATTTTCCAGCTGATACAGTCGACGCTCGATATCTTGACTGGAGACAGACACCTCCCGAAGCATTCTCTTCAACTCCCGCTCCCTCGCATCGGCACGTTGTCGGAGCGCCGAGATTTCCGCATCTCGTTGGGCTAGATCGCGCGCGAATTGCCTCACGATCTTCGTGGCGCCTGTATTCGCGATCAGTCGTTCGATATGCGCGTCATCGGCTAGGTGCAAAGCGCCGGGGATATCGCGCGTTGGAACGGAGTCTTCAAAGAGCGCTGCCCGGTCGGAGGTATTGGACAAGCCACTTGTAAGCCGTGCCAATGTGGCCTTACGGCCGCGATTCGTTTCGCCAGCACCATCTTCATCAAAGTCGGTCAAGAGCGCATTTGACAAACCTCGGGTGAGGGTAGAAGTATCATTGGGCGGCGAAAGCGAAGGAAACGAGGTCAGGTCTGTCGGTGTTTTGGGCGTGTTCGGGGTGTTGGAGGCCGAATGCCGTTTTGGGGCTTTAGCACGAAGTGTCTTAGCCTTTTGGCTCCTGCTCGACACAGATGAGGCCTGGGACGAGGACCGTCGCTGAGAGTGCGTATCAGGCTCAGCCATGACTCAACGATTGGTGGATGGCGTGGATGGCGTGGGGGGCGGGATGGTTGGTTGGGGACTTCATGAATGCTTGCAAATGAAGGAGCAGCCGCCAGCTGGCTTGATCGGTGTCTCGCGATGCGCTCCCCTGCTGTCGTTGTCGCGCGTCCTTGGCGATCGTAGGCGATGGCGCGGATCTCAAGAATGCAGGGGCGGTCTACGGCAGACATTCAAGAGCTCCCTCGCCGACCAACACACAATCTGAGAGGTTGTCGTCGCTCGCTGACTGCCTGAATGAGCTGAAAATTTTCTCATCCTGCCAACAACTTTGTTGATGCCCAGTGAACACATGACGTGTGTGAGCACGTGACGTATTTGCTGATATAATCGTTTGATATCAGGTGACCCTCAGCCTCGGCTCTCCGCATTAATTGATAACCGGGGCAAAGCTGAACTCATACATAAGGAACAAGCATCTCTCTTGCTTGGTTCTGCTGTATACATACACAATGTCCTCCGCAGTCGCCAAACAGCGCCTCCAGGCCCTCAGCAAACAACTAACTGAAGGTATCCCCGACGAGGGCACCTTCGAGGGCATTCCCAAGATCCGCCATGTAGCCGGAGACTCGGCTGGACCGTAGGCAATCCCCAATGTGTCGAGGGTCCACTCATAAATAACATGTATCCCACAGCCGAGCGAAGGACAAGGTGGTGATTATCACGGGTGAGTCTGCAGCACCTTCAATTCCGTGCCGTTTCGTTGCTAACCAGCAACCAGGCGCAAACTCGCCAAATGGCCTCGGGCGTGCTAGTGCACACCAGTTCGCCAACAACGGCGCCAAGGCAGTGTACATCTGCGACTATGCCGACTCACATCTTGCCACGCACAAGCGGGAGATGGAGTCGCTGTACCCCGGCGTAGACGTACATACGCGGCAGTTCGACGCAGCCGATGAGAAGGCCGTGGCAGCCGTGATTGACGACGCGGTGGCCAAGTACGGGCGTCTGGACGTCTTCTTCGCCAATGCAGGTATCTCGGGCCAACCGAAGCTGTTTACGGAGATTGACGGCGAGGGGTTCATGAAGACGCTGCGGACTAATACTCTGGGGTAAGTCGGCGGTTGTCCAAAAACAGGCGGAATCAACGGTCTAACATCCCAATGCAGGCCCTTTCTGGCTGCGAAACATGCGGCACCGGCTATGAAAGTCACCTCGGCTGCAAAGCCCTACCCCAGTGGATCAATCATCTGCACCGCCTCGGTAGCAGGCTTGCGGTCCAACGCCGGGTCGACCGACTACTCCGCGTCCAAGGCAGCGGTGGTGTCACTCGCACAGACGGTGGCATACCAGCTGGCCGGCACCGGCATCCGCGTCAATGCCATCTGCCCGGGATTGATCGAGACAGGGATGACGCAGGCGGTGTTCGACCAGGCGCGGGCACGCGGCACGCAGCGCAAGATCGGGCAGTTGAACCCGCTACAGCGGGCCGCTGTTGCGGACGAGGTGGCTCGCGTGGCTTTGTTTTTGGGTAGTGATGAGAGCAGCTACGTCAATGGCCAAGCCTGGGCTGTCTGTGGCGGCTTGAGTGCTGGACACCCCGTTGTGCCGGGTAAACTGGCATGAGCATCTAGCAAGCTGTATATAAGAAGTGCGTTGGTGGGCTATTTGTACAGTCCGTGACCGAAATAGCATACTCAAATCTACTGGTCCAGGGTATTTTAAGCTTGAAACTACTGGTTGAAATAGCCCGAGGGGGAGATGTGCACAGAATTCATTTTTTGAAGTACAACGATTCCAGAGACAGCTTTGCAATAGAGCCATCGAATCAATTCCCGTCCACCAAGAGACGGCAGACGAAAGGGGAAATGTGCAGGAGCACACGACAGAGACAACAAGGAAATCTCGCCCGCAGGCAGGAGAGTGGGTGCAAAGTGGATCGCTCTCTCAGTCTTGCAGCAGGAAGCCAGGCCGAAGACGTGAGACATGAACGGGTAGGTAAATACACAAGCATGCCGACGACCCATTCCAGAAGGGCGACGACCAATAGACAATAACAGCAAATGTATGAGACAAGATCCCGCAAGAGTGGAAAAGCACAGGTAGACCAATCAATCAACAAAGATGGACAAGGAAACAGATAAATGGTCGGATGGATATAAGGGAGTATCAAGTAGTAGTCGACACGACGAAGCGAAAGAGAAAATAACCCACGCCAGAGAACAAGAAAAATAGGGAAGAAGAATGAGACTGCAAGGAAAACCGGGAACAAACAACATGGCCTCAGATCAAGCGTTGCATCATCCAAGCTGACTGAATTACGAGATCACTCGTGCAGTGTTGCCCCGCATGAGATCCTCGCTGGCCTGCTTGGACAGTGTGCCCGTCTCGGTCTGCTGGTCATCCAGGCCCTCAGTTTCGTGGGCATGCTCATCGTCATCCTCGACGATCCGGGTCGGGATCTCGCCGGCGGTGTACTGCTGGCTTGAGCGCTCGGGGAAAGTCGTGTTGCTGACCATGGACATGGAAGTGCTGGAGCGGTTGTGTACCAGATCCGGTGTGGGCGGGATGCTGGAATTCCGGTCAGGGTGCAGCGAGTTGGTGTCGGTGTTGTCGCTCATCTCGCTGGCGGCACGGGTCGAGCGGCCCTCCTGGACTTCGAAGTCGGAGCCCAGGCGGTCACCATCCTGACGAGCCTTGGCCGACTCCTCGGACTCCTCATCGTCCTCGGCGTCCTGGGCCAGGTGCAGGCCCTCGACGGCGGCGGCGCACTGGTCGCTGATGGTACGGATGATATCCGCAATGGCGTCGGTCTTCTCGCGCAGGTAGAGATCTGCGACATCGTTGATGCTCAGGCGAGCAAGGCTCTTCTTGTCCTTGCCGAGGTTCAGCAGATGCTGCTCTAGCTCGGGACTCATATCATTTACCATGGGTTTGCCGTTGACATCCTTCTTTGTGGTCTCGTTCGAAACCGACTCCTCTGATTCTTCGGTTTCGGCGGGAGCGTCCTCGTAGCCCTGCTTGACCATTTCAGTAATTGTCGAGGTACTACCAATGGAGCGGACAATGTGCTCCATGTGGTGGTTCTGGCCGTTGATGAGGCTACGCAGGTGCAAGACCACGCGCTGGGCATCATCGCGCTGGCGGGAGAGGGTGGAGTTGGTGTGCTGCAGAGCAGAAATCTCCTTCTGGTTGCGCTTGCGCTCGCGCTCCAGCTCCTCGGCAATCTCCTGCTGGAGGACAAGAGCCTCGAGAGCGTCGTCGCGCTGCTTCTCCGTGCCAGATAGGCGCAGAGTAAGCCGAGCCACGTCGTCCTTCTGCTGGTCGATGAGACCAGTGAGACGACGGTTCTCGCGCTTGTGGTTCTCGATCTTGATCTTGAGTTCCGAGGTCTCTTTGGTGAGCTGCTCAGCAAACGCCTGGAACTTGAGGAACTGCTGCTTCCAGGTCTCGAGCTCCTCGACAAGGAAGTTGTTGCGCTTGGTGACCTTGCTGAGCTCGGTGTCCATGCGGCCCTTGAGATTGATGAAATCTTGCCAAGCCTCCATGGCATCGCGCGAGTACTGGTTCCGCTCGCGCACGATCTCGTTGAGGTGGCGCATCGAGACCTTGGTCATCAACGGCTTCTTGACGGCGCCGCCAAAGATCGCCTTCACACCTGTGTTGCGTCCCTAGAGATGTGTTAGCTTCTGCATGTCGAACTATTGGAAAGAATCGCCTACCAGCTTCTCGCAGACGTGGTCCATGACGCCCATCACGGCATCCTGGTTCCACCAGGCGGGCTCCTGGACGCTCTCGACCTCTCCTCGCATCACGATGATCTGACCGGCAGGGATCAGCTTGCCACCGGCGTAGGCAGACCGCAGGTGCGTCGGCACACCGGAGGGCGAAACGTCGCCGTTTAGAGACTGCGTCAACCGGTTGATGAACTTGGTGCGCTGGCCCTGGTTCAGGACGTTGGGCGGGCTCGAAGTCAGAACGAAGTTCCGGTCGAGGTCAACCACGAGAGCATCGGACGGAGCATTGAACAGCGTCCGGCACTCGGCAGTGACACCAAGGATGTACGGGCCGGGCTCTTGCACGAGCTCCTTGACGTGGCGGGCGTGCACAACGGGCACGTACAGGCCGCTCCACTCGTAAACACGAACGCAGTAGCGGATGGTTTCGGCCGCGGCCGTCAGCATCGCTGGGTAGTGGCTGACGAAGATTATGCGGCGGGTGGGTGAGACAGCGGCCTCGACCACACCGACAATGTTCGGAATGGACAGGCAGGTGAATAGAGGCCACATGGAAAAGTTCTGGAAGCCGGTAGGGGACGAGGGGAACTGGTAACACAAGGCATAGTCCTTCATATCAATTCGGACGAGGTCGTTGAGACGCGGAGCAGGGAAGCTCAAGATCCGAGATACCTCTTCGGCATGGAAAAGGTTGGTGGCCTTGTTCCAGTGGATCCACATGCCACGGAGGTAGTCGCCCAGCAGGTCGTAGAGCGGATAGCGGGACAAGAAGCTGAGGCAGTAGGGGATCCAGTAAGTCTCATCCGGGTTGTCGTAGAAGTCGGACTCGGTCTTCTTGCGCAGCTCGCGAATGGTCTCCGCACGCTTCTCATCCGCACGGGACCAGACGCGCAGCGCAATACCGTACAGAGTGTGCGAAGAGTCCTGCTGCAGCACAAAGGCGTGATGGGCACAGTGCGGCTGGCTCTTGCCGGTGCAGATCTCGACATCGTGCGGGAAACAAGCCCGCATGGCCGAGTGCAGGGATCGAGCAATCTCGTTATCCTGCTCTAACCGCGGACTGCTGCCCAGGATCTCGGGCAGCCAGAATTGGCCGACGGCGCCCTTCATGTGGCCAATCTTGCCCTGAGCCGGAGCTGGTGCCTTGACCCATTGGGAGGGCTCGCGGCCCACACCGCAGACCATGTAGGCATGGGTGAGGGTTTTGGGTGTTCGCTGGGTGGGCTTGAGGTTGAGGCTCGAGGCAATGGGCTGGGTGATGCGCGAGTGCAAAGATGAGGTGCGGCTGGGAACGACCAGCGAGTTTTCTCCCTCGCCGCGGGTGGTGGGCCGATCACGGGTGGATGGCCGCACAAAAGAGGCGTGGTCTCGCAGAGACGGGCCCATGGTGGTCAATTGAGGTGGTGGTGATGTGTATATATGTATAGGTTCAAGAGGGTCACTCAAGGGCGCGAGCCGGGATGGAGTGGACTGTCGGATAGAAAAGTCCCTCGATCAGAAACACAGGAATGGACGTGCCAAGTTGACGAGGCAAAGCTATTCCCGGTCCATGCAGATACCGACACGCACAGGACAGCGCGGTCTTGACAATGAGGTGGACAACGAATGGAAAGGGTGAGAATAGAAGAATAGGGAGGAGAAGAGAGGAGACGAGAGGAGAGGAGAGGGTGAATAGGAGAAAAGCATAATCCATCCACCCGGAGCCGAAGCGAAGCTAAGGCTAAAGGGGTTCGTTCGAGGCGAAACGAACCACTTGGGCTCTCCACCGAAAAATACACGCTTGCAGGGGCAGGAAATTGACGGGCCCCGGAGTTCCAAACCTTGTTGGTTGGTATCCACGGGTCGGGGATGCTTAACAGATGGAGGTACCACCGATGCGATGGGTAGGTAGGATTTTCTTTTCGGTGGAAGAATCGTGTGTCGAGTCCACCGCAGAGGATGCCAGACAATCCATTGTGGCCCCGATCGATCGCGATGGTTGGCAAAAGGCCGGGGTGGAGCTCTGACCCGCATCCTGCTGTTCCCCCTGAGCGGGCGAACTTGTGGTGCTAGCACTCAGCATTACTTATTCGCGGTGGATAATTCGTGAATCGACGGCATTCATTAGGAGTTTAGGTATGTATGTTTTATGGTCCAGACCAAGGCGAGAGTTCAATCTCCGACTCCTGCTTCATTCGGTGTGGCTGCCAACTCTGTTCCTGTTGCTCTCTACTCACTCCCACAATCCGAGCCAGCATCGAGGATGACCGATAGCCACACAGTAGCACGCTTATAGCCTCGATCTCGAACCGCTCCGGACCGAATCCTGAGCCTTCTTCGGGAAAAGAGCTACATGGGGCCAGAAAACAAATGCCCTCAACCAGCCAAAAAGGGAGTGCTTACGGCGAAGAGCTCAGTAAGCTCGATCCCGAGATCAGCATCTGTGCGCAGCCGGTCACCGTACGGTCACACACGGCACAGATTCAGTTCCTGGCCTAATTCTTCCTTAGCGGCAGTCGATCGCTCCCGATTCTGCGCCGGCGGTTTCGTCTAGACCCACCGGAGTGGGTCGGGGGTACCTGGTACCTGACGGGTCGCGGGCGGCCCCGTACTTCAGGCAGGTACTGGGGACAACCCTGGACTCCTCACGGACGAGATGTGTCATGTCGGAGACACATCCATCAATTAACTCAGTGTCGCTGGTGGTTTCATGACAGTTGACTAGTGGGCTCGTGACAGGTCGAGTAATTACAATGTAGGGGTTTCAGTGTCCTTAAGGGGTGGAGAGAGGGGTCAGTTAGTGGAAGTATGTATCCATCGGATATATATTATTGTGCAGGGGCCGCGGATGGTCGCAGCCTTTGTTGGTCATACAGTGCTGATGGAAATATATATCTTTACTGCGTAGTGAATATACCAGTCCTTGCCATTTCATCTCATGTATAGACAACAGCTTGAGTCGTTCAGCTTCAATCGTCGGGCTCTCGAACAGGTCCTCTTAGATCGTGACATATCGTTTACCACCTAGGTTTATAATGCCCCAGCAGAGAAAGAATAAAAGGAAGCGCATAATTAAGAGGAAGGAGTTCTAGCTCTTGTAGTTTAGATAAACCTGAAGACGATGAGAGTAGTTAGTAGCTTTATATCCTCCTAAAGCGAAATCATGGTTGAAAACCGCAAAAGAATCACCTCTCACTTTGAGTGAATGAAGAGACATGGATCGAACCGCCAAGCTGTTTTGTGGCATAGTTGAAGATCCCCCATCGTTCACCCTGGAAAAATTCCCACTCGGACCGCATGGAAAAGTTTCCTCCAAACGGGTGGAAATGATAGCCATCCTGGCTATAGGAAAAGTACCCTTGGAGGTCACCATCTGTCCTTGCATCTAATGTGCCCCGTAACCAGACTTGGCCCCTTCGAATCTCGATTTTGTCGGTGATATTCCCGAGGCTAGAAGTTTGTTGAAAGTTCGTTTCATTAAGAGTCATGCCTGAAACCATTTCCAGATCATATTTCTGGCCATTGCGGACGATCCCAATCCAGGAGGTCTCATCACGAAATGCAGCCAGCCCACAGCGATCGCCATCTTCCATATGTTGGAAGTCAATTTCAATCGTTGCAGTGGGAAAAGGGCCGTATAGCCGGTGGGTGAGAGTGTTTCGAGCCGTGAAGAGATCGTCAGTAACGGTCGTAGTCCAGAGCCTTAAGCCATTTCCCACCTCATACTTAGTGGGATCGGGATTGTGGTTCCACTCCCAATTAGGACTAAGTTCATGGCCTTGAAAACGGTCGGTCCCGAACCAAGATGGGGTCGGCCTTTCCGGAAGGGGGTAATTATACGACTCCCCCAGCCGCCGTCCACCGTGGTGAGGTTTGGCCAGCCATCGGAAGTCCAGGTGATTGGTGCAAGGATAGGCAGACGCCCTGCAGGATATGCCCAGGTGAAAGACATAAAGTACCAGTCCCCAGAAGGTGTCTCAATAAGACTTCCTTGAGAATCAACTGAGCCTCCAGAGACCGGAGGGGTTAAACCGTCCTGCAGGATTCGATAAGTCCAGCCGCTCCAGATGTCTTCAGACCTCCAGATTAGTGTCGCACCACTTGGGTAATCATCGAGAACATAGTAGAAACCATCTTTCTTATACAGTCGATTGCCTTCAATAGCACTGAATGGCGCGGGTGCATTGAAAACCGGATGTGTTTGTACCTGCGACAGTCCATCCGCTGAGAGTTGGGCAATGCTGACGTTAGTATTTCCGTAGGCCACGAACATTGTGTCGTCGGTATCAATCAGGAGCCCACAATCGTAGTAGCATTCATCGATAGTCCCAGATAATTCCCATGGCCCAGTAACTTCTGGTGCAGTGTATACGTAAGTCTTGGCGAAGTCGATACAGCCAATCCAATACCATAACCCATTGCTCTTGCGATACCGCATAGATGATGCCCAGGTACCTGCGTTGTAAGCAGTTTGACCATCGGTCATGTTGTACTTGGGCCCGAACTCCAGAAACGGCACCGCGTGGGCGATGAGTTCCCAGTTGACAAGATCTAGCGATTTCAGAATGGGTGCTCCAGGCGAATACTGCATGTTTGATGCCATAAAATAGAAAGTCTGGCCATCTGGACCAAGAAAAATATCATTATCGGCAAAGTCTGAATAAATCACCGGGTTGGTAAAGGCTTTGGAATGTGGTGGCACGGCATGAGAGACGACCGTTGATACATGAGAAAAAAGGCCTAGCAGGGTAGGCACCAAGGCCTCTAGACCACGCATCTCTAACAATTTTGAAATAGCAGGGATATGAAATGACAAAGGCTGTAGAGGTGGGGGGTGTGGTGGGGGTGCAAAGGAAGAATTCGCAGGCAGCAAATTGCACAATCGATTGGGGAATTGCACTTCTATATACGATCTTACATAATAGACTTCAACTTTATTGACGCTGTTGACACTTTCTGTTTAGGGTAACTGGGTTTCAATACTTTAGCCTAAATATCACCTTGCGCTAAGACCCTCAGAGAAGTAACTGGTTAACTACTACCCTGTAGTCCCTAAGGTTAGAATAGATACGAAGCTGCGTCAAAAGCGCCATGATTTACCTACGGAAACATCTCGTGCAAAAAACATAACACCTCTTACTGAATTTGTAAACCACGCGATTCCAAAACCGACGAAACTTTGACAAGCTGAATAGAGGCTTGGTTCCCCGCACTCATACTCAGGCTAAAGACTTTACTAGAGGAATTTTTTGAAGCTAGAGCCAGCATCCAGTAGTCGGATAAATACCGGTAGACGGTATACGGGATCCGGGTTGGGCTAAAAGTTCCGGCTCATCGCAGGGAGAGAATTTTCACCTGGGGAAAACTGGGGAAAGCTTAGGGCATCTTGGGAGCCAATCAATCGCACCTGCGATTCATGTAAATTAAGTTTCTAACAGGGCCGAGGTCTTCTGTTTCACACTAAATTCTGATTTTTGTTTCTGCTGAGAGCACCATTGAATAGCAGACGTAGCTTGCACGGTTGGAGCCGAAAAACATATATATTAAACAACAAAAACTGGATAGGGCAATTCGACCATACTTCTAATATATGCACACCCTCGCCTATTTAATTCTGTCGGATATGCCTTGTCCGGAGTCCCACAAAGATCATTGTTATGGCTGCCAACACCTCCGGGAGAAATAAGAGGACTACGCGCACTGCAATTGTTCCGTGGATTGGGCTGAGATCCTTGTCTTGTGTAACGACCATAATCATGCTGTAGATAACACGGATTCCGATGAAGGCAAGCGCGATGAGGGCGCCCTGGAGGAGCTATAGGGAGAGGCATCATCAGCCACCAAGAATATCGAGCGGAAGATAAATATGCTCACCGTAGTTCCACCTCGGTATCCAGGAGCATCCTTCTTTCCCTGAAAGTGCAGGAGGGAAAAAAGCGCCCAGAAGATCTGGAAAACCCAGGTCGCGACAATCAAAGCCACACCGGCTTTCCAGTGCGTCAGACTGTCAGGCTTGGGGTTGCCCTCAAAGATATCCAAGGAACCCATTATTGTGAGGGCCAGAGCAGCAGCCATGATGCCTGTGGTACCAATGACGACGCATAATCCAACGACACGGCCCTGTGATGGATTCCGATACGTTCGCCTGATAGAATCCGGTCAGTTGCCAGTCCGGCGGAGGGAGGAAAGTGTAGAACATACGCTTCATGGATCAATCCATCGATTGCTAGAATTAATGGGGTAAGACCCACACTCTGGATGATGTTGGCAGGTAGGCCGTTGCTATTGTGGATACCTAGTCCTCCACCGATAATTCGGGCAAAGCAGAAAACGGTGAGGTAGTACCAAGGCAGGAACCCGGTCCATCGATGACAGAGGAAGATGTAAATGACGACTGGAGTCAGGAGCAGATAGACTGCAAGGTCGGCGGGGAAAATCCCATTCATCGCGGAGAGTCTTCTGATGTATGTATAAGGAAACGCTCAAATGTTGTCGAGGATGTTGGGTAATTGAAGCTGGAAAACAAATGAATACGCTTTCGAGATGTCGCGAACTTAGTTCTTTCTTTCAACTGCAAAGGAAGGACAATTTATACCAACTCATCTTCAAATCCCCATGCATATGTCCAGGCTGTTTACAAAACTAAGCCTCATGCCCATTTTGGAATACTGTTCGGGCTGGATAACTAAGGGTGTCGATCGCTCAGCGCAGCAAGCTTTACCATTTTCGAGCGCCTCGAGCCATAGAGTGCAAGGCGGAATTCAGCTGGGATGGGGGCTGAACTCAATATAAGCCAAAGATAGCCAAGCGTGAAACTAGGGCTCGGCATTTTCCACTGCATAGAGCAAAGTTGAACCAATTAAATGTTGCTTTCCTTCTCTAACTGAGAGGCTGTGCCGGACGATCAAACTGCGCGCCCCTTTGTTGGTTTAAAAACTCGGCCACCCCCACCACTTGGCGTCTTAGACTCATCAGGCCTGACCGAACTGATAACCGCTTTTGGAATCCACGTTGTACACTCTGGGCCCATGGTATACAGAGGAAAACCCAGTGCAGGGTGTGTCTCATGTCGGGTTCGGCGTCTAAAGGTATGTGGATGGTCGATTCCACTTGATTTAAACCGCTAACCTAAACAGTGCGATCGGCGTCAGCCATCGTGCTCGCAATGCCTTCGAATCAAACGCGAATGCTCCGGTTACCGAGACCTCAGGGCCCTGCGAATTTATGACCAGAGCGAGGAAGTCGTTGTGAAGGCCCGACCCCGGCATTCTGTCGCCTCGAGGCCCTCAAAGCTGTCTTCCGCAGACCAGGCAATACCAGTGAGCTTAGTACCTATGCCGGCTTCAATAGACGAACGGGCGACGTCGTATATCTTCACATATTACGTTGGCACCGGCCGAAGCCAGGGTCTACTTCCGTTTTTACCCGGGGGTGCTGCGAAAAGACCCATCTCCAGCCCTCCAAGCCTCGATTAAGGCTGTAGGGCTGGCAAGCATGTCCAGGGTCCGCATGTCGCAGGATTTGATCTGCTCAGCCCGTCAGGAATATAGTGCAGCCTTGCTCGCCACTAACAGCGCACTGCAAGACCCAACCCAAGCCAAGTCAGACTCCACCCTGGCGGCCGTGGTATTGCTTAGCACGTATGAGGTGAGGGACATTCCTCGACCAGTGATTGGCCTGCTCTAACGAATAAAATAGATTATAACATGCCATAGCTCAAATATGATGGGTCGCTGGTTGAACCATGTCAAAGGGGCAATGAGGCTCCTTGAGCTACGGGGGTGAAACAATTGGAAACCTCAGCCGGGCTGGAGTTATTTACATTGATACGCATGCAGACCGTACATAACGCATCTTGCAGATTCTCTTTGACTGTTCTGCTTCTGACTTCTTCCAGGCCATCAGCAACATATTCTATAAAAGCAAAAGCTCACCAGAGATAGCCAAATTGTCGAAAGCGGCGATGGCCTACCGCGATAGCAAATCTCGAGCGATTGAAAATTTTCTTGACATCTTGGTGCGGGTGGGCGACCTCTCCGTTGAGATCGACGACACTTACACCAAGAGACACTCTATCGGTGATCCGGCAGTCTTCATCCGGAAGGCGCTCCATTTAGACACTGATCTTATCTCTTGGGCCCTTTCTACCGACCCTACTTGGCGCTATGAGATTATCGAGGCACCAGAGCACACATATCATTCCACTTACAGTGACAAATATCATGTATACCCCACAGTTGGCGTCGCCTCCATGTGGAACAACTACCGCCAAACACGCATTATCCTCCATGAGATCATCAGATCGATGTGTATGCGCAAACTGGAACTGGGTAATTCGCCCGAGAGCCAACAGACGATGCTACAGTCCATCGTAATCAACAATCTTATGGCGGAAGACATTTGCGCTAGTGTGCCATACCATTTTACTTCGGGTGAGGTGGGATTCGGGGGTGTGTTCCGGCTGCTTTGGCCATTATTCATCGCGGCGGACTATGCTGGGTCGACACCTAGAATGAAACATTGGGTCTTCCAAACACTTCGTACAATTGGAAACACCATGGGCATCCAGCAGGCGCTCATGATGTCTCTGTTTGTGAAAGAAGGGCATGCCTTGGATTTAATTCCGGGGGAGCCGTCAAGAAAGACAAATCAATCCGAACCATGAATAATTTATAAATGCTATTACAGGACAGAAATTCCAATAATATAATCATCGATATGCGCAAATTTCAACCAAAAAGACCTCCATCATCCATCTTCACGTCCTATATCCCGCCTTACCAGGAACGCATGAGTTCTATTTTCACACAAAGCACAGAGACTAGTACTCACATCGGCTTCTTTGTTCCTTTTATTTATTAGGAGGGCTTCGTGACCGTGTTAACTTTGCCAACATCATGATCGTATGGCATCGATGTCTGGATCGGTGTTCCAGCCCCAACTGGGTGTGGTGCGCGCTCATATTCGGCACTTGCTTGCTCACGCTTTGACTTGTTGTGCTTTCTCAAGATGAAAGGAAGGAAAAGGCACATTGTGCTGTCTCTTTGGTGTGATATTGTTGTTAGGATTGGAGAGTTGAGCAGTTTAATGGCTCTTGTGAGTTGCGTGTTGAGGGAAAAATTATTTCTATCTGCGGAGCAGGGCCGTTTTATATATTTGGACTTGTGAGATATTCAGCCCAACGTGCACACATTGACAAACTCGGAAATCAGGTCGTAGCGCGTCTCGGATCTTCAAGGCGCCCCCTTCACGCCTTGTCTATCGAAATGACGCCCGGGCTAATTATGGGGCTAGCGGAAAGATCTCTACAATAATCTTACTAATTTGATCGGGTAACCAACTCGAAACTCTACCGCGGACCCACTTCGTATCAGTATGATGCGCTGGAAAGGATCAAAAGCTCCGTACTTCTAAAAAGTATTATGGACTACTGCGGCTGAACAAAGACAGGCGAAGGTTATCCGTGATTATGCTGGTTTCCTCGGCTTTCAAATACTCGCAAGTGCCGCAGGGGGTTCCAAAGCGGTGGTGGAAGAATAGGTCAATTATCAACAGACTAGTCTTTCACTGAAACACATAGACCATCCCTGCTCGGTCCACGCTCACAATCATGCCGTACGGCACCCGCAATACCGCGACGTCCTGAATGATATCCAAATGGCTCTTGAGCAGCATCTGCTGCTGAAGACTAATCACCGTGCTACGAGGAGGCCGGCCACTGGCTCCCTTCCGCGAGCCAGAAGCTGCGCTGCCCGACGCACTGGGAAGGTGCTCGGTGGTCACTAGGAGATTAGGATTGGGCTGAGAGAGATCGTAGCGCGGTTTCCCGGTCGCGCCGCCGTCCAACACCACGTCAAGACCGCTGACAAGAGAAGACAGCTCGGGTCGAGCGAGGTCCCAAAACCGTATCTTGCGGTCGCAACCAGCCGACACCATGAACCCGCATCTCGTGCTGTTGTCCTTCCCGTCATCTAGGGAGTCAAACCCGACAGCAAAGGACCAGATCCCGAGTCGATCACCCGCCAAGCTCGTGGGCGACGATGGAGCCCCGCTGCCGCCAGATGCAGGTCCTCCGGCATCCATGCCTACGGGACTGGTGGTGGCAAAGCGACTGAGCATCCCTTCTGGCCGGTCCCCGTCGACTCGCCAGGCCTCGTAGTCCCGGAGGCTTGGAGCGGTGGCTCGCGCGGGTTGATGCCCGCCGTTAGTGGTGCCATTACTGGGACCTAGAGGGGTCGCCTGGTAGACCTCGCGACAGCGGACCTTTTCAATGTCCCACACGGTAATCTCATTTCCATGAATGCCGCTCCCGGATACGCAAACCCAACGGCCTCGACCCTTGGTGGGATGGACTTGCAGTCGATGAATGGCGCCCCAACCAGGGAGACCCCATGCCTTCAACCGCACGCGGAAGCGGAGATCCCACAGGTCGAGAATCCCGTGAGTAGTGCCCACCAGCAGCCAGTTGTGCTTACGGTCGCAGCAGAAGGTGGTGGGGGTTCCGTGATGGACGGGGTTCTCCAGTGAATAAATTGGTAGCATGGTCTTCATATCCAACGCAAGGATACGGCAGGTATTGGTCGCGATCAGCAGGGTGGATTGAGAGTCGGAGCGGAAATGTTCCAGCCAAATCGGATACTCGACAGTCCCGTCATCCGCAGTGGGTAGTTGGTATTCCCGAACAAGCTGAAGCTTACCGTACCGAACGGTGTCATTGACATTGTGATAGTCGACTCTGACAGCGTGAATGCTGCCGTCAGTGGCGCCGCTAATGAAAGTGTGCGTGTTTTCAACAAAGGTCAACGCTTTTACGCGCGCACCTGGCCCATGCCGGTGGGTTTGGCGGGACCTAGGAGTCAAGTTGCGTTCGAGGCGGGTCGTGTCCCAGATCTTGACCGAACTGTCATCTGAAGCAGTGACAAAGAAAGAATGGTCTGGTGCGACAGCGACGCGGTTCACGGGGCCACTGTGCTCGCCAAAAATGGCTACCAGATTCCCTTCGGGTTTCCAAACCTTGCTGGAATCTTGCGCGTTAACTTTGCGAATTGGCCTTCGAGAATCCACCTCCTTGACATATGGACCCAAGTCAAAGAAGTCCGTAGGGTAACTCTCTGCAAACACGTTGTCCAGCAGTCGTAGGACGACTGGATCATCGCCTCCGTAGGAGTGATTGGCACGGTATTCCCGGGCCGCTGATTCGAGGGGATTGCGGTCGTATGCAAGTGCGAGGGCCGATGGCTGGGGAGTTCCTCCTCTTTGAAGCGGAGCATCCACTTTTCCGAATGCATTTGCCGAGCTGGTGCTTGTTTCCGCGTATGCTTTGGCTGTTTCCTTGCGGTTCAGCAGACTGATCGCGCTGGGTTTTCGCTGGACCTGCCCAGACAGGATTCTGAGCGCAGGATTCTCTGCTTCGGTTGGTGTTGTTGAGCCTTCTCGTTCGAAGCTCGGCTGGCGACTAGAAAGTTTCCGATCGATATCCGAGCCTGGGGGAGACAAGGGACGGGACCCTGGTCCTGCAGCGGGAGACGATGCTGTTGGGGAAGATGAGGGGGAGGAGTCGGTGGTGAGATTTTCTAGAGCATTTGGTCGAGGGACGGACCCTGCTTCTTTGTGGCGGTGGCTCTTTGATCGCAAATGCTTACGATGAGCACTCGGTGTTCTCTCAATCGTTGTAGAGGCATCAAGGAGCGCGTCTGCAATGGTTTTGGGCCTTTGTTCATCGACGGTAGGACTTTCAACCCTGCCCACAGAAGCCCTCCGCGGCTTCATGTTTTGATTCTTGTCAAAGAAGACCGTCTGAGGGGTGACACCATATTGTGTCAATTTGATTATGTTGTTCAGTAGTGAGATCGATCCGTTGTCAACATCTCTGGATTGTCGCATAGAGACTCTCCAAAGATAGTCTTTCAGAGCGAGCAGCTTGTACTCGTCATCGGGGCCCATCCCCAGATTTCGTAGTCGCGACAGCCATTGTTCGTCTTCATCGTTCCTCGCTTGCGAACTCAATTTAAATGAAGAGCTTCGTTGCCCGGCGCGGGAGTTATACGACCCGGGCTCGGAGAGAGTGAAAGTGCCTTCACGGCTGGTCGATTTCCAGAACACACCTCTATCGGCTTTGGACGCCCAGACAAGGGCCATGTCATAGATATTTCTCGCCATCGGTGGCTTGAGTGCATCGAGGATTTCGGACTCCGTAAATTCCATGATCCTAATTCTGAGGAAAGGCCGAACTAGCGGCGTCAAGATCGAGTAAATGTCAGCCACCGACAAAAACTTGGTCGAGCTGACCACGAAGTTCACAGTTGCTTCGCGGATCCAAATGTTCGGATGAACAAGGAATCCAGTGGTGATGTAAAGCAGATCCCATGTCGTTTGCCGCTGAAACAGGCCCAAGTCCGCCATGGCCGCCAGAGAGCGAATCACTCTTTCCACGACAAATTCTTCGGGCTCCGTCATGGATTGAACCATCAACGGTAGGATGTACTGCTCCAAACTGGTGCTTCCCACATAGGCTGCAACTCCAACGACGGCTTCAAAGAAGGCACATTTCAAAATCCAGTCCCGGTCATTGAGATATGTGTTCAAGTGGCTGAGAATGACATCGTTCGCTCTCGGATTACCGAAAAACACGCAGAGGCTGGATACCGAACCCAGGAAGGCCCGGCGGACCGATGCATCCGAGTCCGTCAACAGCGCTTTTGTGTGAAGCTCAAAGTAATCCAAAAGGTCTATCCTTGCCACATCGTACAGATTATGATATGTGGCATCCTCGGTCCAGCGAGGCTGAAAACCGACGGGTATTAACGACGCCAGGCGAGTATCAGAACGCAGCGCCTGAATCATATCCAAAAATCTCAATGAGGATTGTGCTAAAGATGCAATGCATGAGGCATATGCAGCACGGACCATGGTACTTGGATTGCTGTTGGCAGAGGCAACAAATGGCTGGAGCCTCGGGAAGATGTACTCAGAGAATAAGTAGGCATTCACCGGGGATACTACGTGCACCATCTCCAGCAATTGAGTCAACGTGCGAATGGCGGCAACTTTGACAGAGTCTGTGTGATCGGTTAAAAGGAGCATGATGTAGGGGAGAACGCGGTCCAGCTTGGCTTCATCTGAGAGCCTCTCGGCAAAGGCCAGGAGAATATCACAAGCTTTGATGCGGGCCGAAGCCTTGGCGGTATTCCGTAGGTTGGAAACCACAAGGGCCAGAAAGATCAGAACGCCTTCATCCGATTGCGGTGGGGATCCCGAGGTCGGGTTCCCACCGCTCGGAAGGTCAAGCTTCACGGGAAGAGCATGGCCTGCTAAACTGGATGTAGGCCGAACGATTTTATCAGATGCATTCCGAGAGGTAGGACCAAGAAAGTAGGATATCTTGTCAAAATCCAGGTAGACCCGCTCTATCCGATCATCGGATTCTCCTCGGTTGGCTGATTCCGCGTCCACGTTCGTTCTGCCCGAGGATGGATCGGTCATGAGCGACATGTATTGATGGAGAAAGCTGTAGAAATATTCCGGAAACGCTTTATCCTTCCAGAAATTCAGATACTCTTCTGCAGAGTACCGTGATTCGGGTTCCAGTTGAATCATATGAAGAATCAGTTCTCTGATTTCCGGGTCCTCGATCTTGGCCAGCTGGCTGTGCTCCGGACTGTACTCGCCCTTTCGATACTTGTAGATTTGGCTCAGGGTGAAGATAGGCGACTCCAAAAAGAGCTCGGCAATGACACATCCTGCGCTGAAAATGTCCATTGCCCAGTTGACATGTCGGCTCCCCGGTTCCTCCCCAGCGACAAGGAAGCGCTCGGGAGCCAGATAGCAAGTGCGTCTCCCAGAGATATCGAAATAAAAGGAAAAATCTGCAGGGTTATCTTCCGGCAGGAACGTTGGCTTGAACGACGAGGAAAAGTCCGAGAGATACAGCCAGTTCCACGAAGTGACCAAAACGTTTTCTGTCTTGATGTCACCATGGAAGACATCTAGGGAATGGGAGTCCCGCAAGGCACACAGCAGTTGGAATGCAATCCATTTCTTTTCAATGTCTTCCAGAAATGGCCGAATGCTAGTGTGCCGGTCAGATGTTGTTATTACAAGCACAGACGGAGTAATACATACCTCATTCGATCATAGAGCGAGCTATAGATGTACTGGCGAACGAGATACCCGCTCGTGCTGGTTTCCAGAACCCGATGGTAGCTCAGCGCATTTGGCACATCCGCCAGAAGCTTGCGTTCCCCTACATGATGAAAAAGATTAGTCGGCGATTTACCCGACTGAGCAGAACAATAACGCACGGATGATCGCCTTCACATATGGCTCCAATTTCATGGTCGGGTACGGCTTCATGATCACCTTGACGAAGACCATGCCATTTTGCTGCCTCGCACGAATGCTTTTCATGAAACGACCACCACCCATCGACTTTTCATATACCAGATCTGACAGCTCAGGGACGTCGATCCCCGCGGACCCTGCGGAGAGGGTTGTGAGGGAGTAGCCTTGTCCCATGGTGATAGAGGAACAGCATCTCCTGGGGCGTTGGAAAAGCCGCGGTCGTCCAGTCCAACCGTCCTTGGAGGAGATCAAGGGAGCTGCGATTGCAGACGATGAACCAGATGAAACCAGAGATGGAAGTGAAGCACTAAGTCACTTGACGCGTGGTGAACCGACCCCACGTGATGGGAAGGCGGTCAGCCCCAGACGAGTTGACCATCAACATGAGATCTTGCACTTGGACACTCACGGTCGGATCGGAAGATCGATCAGTGGAGGCTTTTATTTCATACATCAATACACACACTGTCTGATCTAGGTTTCTTTAACCCATCCCATGACGTAACAAGTACCCGGCTGGGCTCTATAGTGTTGACAGTGCAGCAAGGGTCAGGACTTCCAATCACGACACCCACCACGGTCTATCGGTGCAACCCTTGAAATACATGATTGCACTATTTCTTCCCTTTTTTGCTGTCGTTCAGTGAGCATTTCTGAGCCAACATTCCTTGGCGGGGTAGCAGTTGAACACACCCTGCTTTTTTCACCATGGATTCGGACACGATGGACCAGATCGAGATTCCCATCATCGACACAGATGAGCCGCTTTTTGATGTGCTCCAGAAACTGTCCCAGTAATTCATCCATCTTTCGCCCTCACTAAGAAGATTCTAATCTGGAAGCAAATGGTAGCTTCATAACCATGGCGGTCAGCGATACGGCATACTCTTTCGAGCAGATGAGGCATGGGTCCCACGGCCATCGTCTGAGACAGCTGGTCCATGCATTGGCTGAGGACAGTCATAATCCCTTGATAATTGTCGCTTTGATGTAAGTCCGGCACCAAAATTGAACGCAACTGCATTTACATGATTAATGCAGGATCTTGAAGTGGGAATTCACGAGTTGCACTGATGATGACTGGGGGCTGAACGAAAGCCGAGGACATGCCTGCGAGTTCGTTGCCTGGCAATTCTTGTGCCATCTAAACCAGCGTGAAACCATCGAGTTTTTGCTCGAGGAACTTCCGATCCCACGACGGAATTCGACAAACCTCGTCGAGGCCGAGAGGGGAGCTTCTGACTTTGCCTCCCATCGAGCAGAGACGCAACAGACGGAGGATGAGACGACCCCTCTCCTGTTGAACTCATCGTCTTCTCTTTATCGACTATTGTCTGGAAAAGTCGGCCCAGAAAGTCAATCTACCCAAAGCCACCAGGGAACACAGACCTATCAAGAGGTCTGCCTCGCTCAGAAATATTCTCGATTTTTCGGGTTGAATGCACTGGAGATCGCAACAATCGCCCATGCCAAGAGCTTTCTTAGCCAAAGAGTTGTTCAGCGAGTGGTGGATGATATCTGGCGAGGGGAGATCGTCTTCTGGGACTCCCTGACAGTTCATTCCCGGAAGAAACCACAACTATTCAACGAGCGGTGAGTTGGAACACAATCTATAAGGTTAATGCTAACAGACTCACCTCCATTACGTAGAACGGCCGATCCCTACTCCCGCTTGAGAGTGCCTGTTTACCGCAAATTGTTTGAAGCTGCATTCTTCATCACCTTTCTCTTCCTCTACTATGCGGTTCTAGTAGAGAGGAAACAAACGGGAATTGGCATTTTTGAGACTTTGATGTATATTTGGATTGTTGCCTTCGCCTACGACGAATTGAGCGGTATTGTAGATGCCGGAGTACTCTTTTACCAGATGGACTTTTGGAGCCTCTGGAACTTGGGCATCATCGGTGTTGGTAGCGCCTTTGTCATTGCCCGTGAGTCAAAACTCCAACCTCTGCTGCCTGGTTTCCTCAGCTTCGCTAACCGGAATGCACGTCGCAGGGGTCATCGGACTAGGCAGACAGGACAACTCCATCACTGATCTGTCATTTGACATTCTTTCGTTGGAAGCGTTGTTTCTTGTTCCCAGGTAGGGCTCCCTCAATCCTTGTTGGAGGTCGATCTGCCATCGAGTCTGACGCAAGGAACCAACAGGATCTGCTCTCTCGTGAGCTTGAACTCTTACTTCGGCAGCCTAGTATGTGAAACTCTTGTGCGGGACCACAATCCTCTCTGCTGACCGGGGCTGTGTATAGATCCCTGTGTTGAAAGAAATGGTAATATGGCTCATCGCTCCGCGGCAGCCCAAGGCTGACTTGATCGCGTATCTCAGACGAAAGCCTTTTTCAGGTTTCTACCTGTGGTGGTGGTGTTGTATATCGGTAGGAGTGACTTAGCCACGCTGTAGAGTGAAACGTGTTTTGCATGTCTGACCGGCTGGGGATTCCTGCAGGGTTCTTGACCACGTTTACCATGCTCGCCCGTGACCGCTTGTCGCTCAGGCAGATGTCCTGGATCTTGGTGAAGGTGTTCTTTGGGTATGGCGGTGTAAATTCCCTTACTCGTCCGCTATGCTGGCTGACCATGCGATCCAGATCGAACGTTCTCGGTTTTGTGGGTGGTTGCACCTTCCAGCACTCTTTGTTCTGCACTGACGGTGGCTGAAATGATTGGATGACAGGACATCGCGCATGATGTGAGTAGCGGCTATGCTGCAGCCCAAAATGAAACCAGCCCGAGGATTGGCAAAAGGGTTGGCTATCGCGTTTAGTTGACTGACGCGCTAGTGATTTAGATCTCCCCGATCTTCGGGTACGGGTTAATGTGGGTGTTCCCTTTTTCGATACCTTTTTCCCTTGCGCCACGAGATGGCGAAGCAAATGCCAAGCCCGCAGATGCTTGTGATCACGTTTTATTACCCAGTGACGCTCGGCCGCAGCGATGATGTGGTTTTCGTCACTTGGGTGGGCGTGGGCATATGGCATTTCCGGCCAAACTTCCACGCAGACGCGGCACCGCCCGAAGGCTATGAGCATTCCGCGGGCGCTTGACGATTCGAGAGGCTAATAAGAAACCTAAAAAATTGCAGGCTGGTTTTTGTGTCAATGACAAATCTTCTGTTGATTTCATCGCTGATCAGTTTGATGAGCCTGAGCCTGGAAGGAGTAGGTTTTGCTGTGCCGACCATGGCGTTCGTCGCGTTGACGCTGTTTTAGGTGTTGCTTCATGCCCGCGAAGAATATCGTTTCCAGTCAGTAGTAGAAATTACGAGTGAAGAATTCTCCAGCTGACATGCCGTAATCCAGGTTGTCAATCTATGTTCTAGAAAGCAGCAATTCTCGACGGCTAACCTATTTCATGCCACCGCTGGTCCGTTCGCGCCCAGTTCTTGCATAGAACTACTCCACTCACTTCTGGAACTCTATGCTTACCCCTGTTCCAGAATCTGATCCCTCTCCTGTGTATCCGTCCCATGCGGCTCTTCCTGTCTGCGGGGTCCGTTCGCCGCGTACGCATCGTCTTGCTCCGTGCAACCCATCTACCATTTGTCACATTGATCTGGATCTATGAGAAGACCCGACGTCATGCGCATCGGCGGCGGACTAATCAATTGCCCCCGTTGCTTGCCGCACGAGATCTCGGTCGTCGTACTTCTGTCATCGAACCTAGCCCCTCTTGGTGCCAGGACCCACTACATCCTTCCGTAGCGGATACACATCGTCTAGGCCTTGGTAAGGCCAAAACGAGCCTGGATCAGCACGCGGGAGCGAACGAACCAGGGCGAGCCGAACGGGCTGATCAAGTTGACGACATGATCGACGAGGTGGAACGGCTGCGTGCTCAAGTGGAGCGCGTAGTAGCGACAGTTGGAGTGCAGCGCCGCCGGTGAATAGTTTGATGCTATGGTCCGTTCTGAACTCCGCACGGCATATGGGGGCGAACAGGTGAAGATCTGGAGTCGAGACGCGGCAGAGGGGCCACTGCGGTCGCGCCTAGGGGCACGCACCCCCCTGGAAGCCGGGCGTGCCCTAGCGCCCCATCGGTGGGGATTAGCGGCGCCACCGGCCTTGACACCTTGAGTATCGTTTGAGATGCTCCTCGTCAACAACCATATCATGGATAGCGTAATGGACCAGGGGTGCATTGTTATGGGGGCCCCTTTTTTTACATACACTGCCTCATTCTGGCTACGTTCACGATAGGTCTTGATCTCCCACCTCAACACCCTGCCTTGGAGTAAAATAGATTCACGTCAGGTCAGCAATGCATGATAGAGGCACTGGCGTGTGGAGTCCGTGCGGAGACTACTCCGTATGGTGTACATGAAGCCGAACACACTTGATCCTTCCGTGGCCCGCATAGCGCTAGGGTCACGGTTCCTGCCTGTTCGGGGGTACTATGATGATCGTCCGCTACGTCCTCACGCTCTTCAGGCTCTATAGGGCAGGCGACAGAGACCCATCTCCTCCCCCTCCTCCTTCCTTCTTTCTCCCCTAGGGGCTGCTGCTGCGGCTAGGATGACTGACCAGTGACCGATAGCTATCTGCGCAAATCAAGCCAACCAGCAGGTCATCGGGCGTTTTTCATGCCTCTGTGTGGCTACGTTGCATGCATGGGACACATCGCTCCCGGGCGCACTAGCCTAGCGGTGATTAGAGGGAGGGATGGCCATTTCTAGTGCCATGAACCTAGCAGCCGCCGCCATTGTGAGTCCATGTGCAGCGCCTCTTCAACCCCCGGTCATTCTCGTGGCCCCCCTGTCTCCTTTCTGTGTTATGTCAATTGCCCTTCTTCGGCGCTAAATTTCTGGTGCTTGAGTGCAGACTTGCAGACTAGGGCTGTTCTCGATCTGGTCCGGGTTACTCCCGGCCGTTGAGCCCCCCACCCTGTTTTTTTTCCCTTTCCACCGCATTCTCAGACTTCGTTCTGTCGAGTCTGCCTTGGCTATCAAGGCGTTTAGCTGTCGACTCTTCACATCGAGCCGGTGTCGATGCAAGAAGCATTCTGCACCAATGAATCCATGCCCCATTTACAGTCTATCCTCTCCTCAGCCACTGCCCATGTGCGCCGCCATCATTCACCAACAGCGCGGCTGTTGACTCCTTTTGTTATATATACTTCATACTGTCGTTACCTCGCTTGTTCACTCTTTAAGCTACCTAGTCCCACTGGGTCTGTTGGATACTTTTTATCATCTTTTTTTTGTTGCTACGCTGTGGTTGTTGACATTGCAATATGGGTCGGACTCGAGGCTCATTCCAACAATCCTCCTCTCGAGGACCTCCATTGCCCGAAGGCACTCGGTCCATCGAGATGACGCCACCGTACTCTTCGCCTGTTTCTACAACACTATCCCAAAGGGAAAGCCTTACGCAGGGGGTTGGCTTAGGCATTTCTACACGCGGGATGGACACACCGTTCAACCACTCGAGGGCTTGCGCTTCATCAGGACACTACTCGATGGCGCCGCCTTTACACAACCAACTGGTCCCCAGTGGCACAATCTACTACGACTTTCCCTTGAACATCGGGGGTCTCTCAAACGATCAGTTTCGTGAAGTCTACAATAGCTGCGCAACCACTTCTGATTCCCCCATTAGCCTTTACAGTGCGCAGACGCTGAGTGCATCCCCCAGTTACAACTCCGCCCTGGAACTGCCCTCCAACCAGGAACTATTCTCGAACCAGCCTTCTGGCCTCTGGGCAACAACGATACCATGCTCCCGAACCACGACGCCCAATGAGGTTGTTGCTGCAGACGAGGAAGCGAAGAGTCACTGGTGTCGAAATGTGTTCACCGATAGGCTCGTCCCTCCCTCCGCATCAATGTCGTCAGCCGCAAATTCCTCCTTCTCCCCTACAATACTTGGGGAGGAGACTGATTCGAGACAAATGGTTACCCAGCCACAAGGCCCAGCAGCAGACAATGGTGCCTCAAGTCCCTCAAACTCCAGCCGGAGGAGTCGGGTCTCATCACCCGCTGATAAACCCTCTGAGGTTGACATAGGGCTCAAGTGTCCCATCTGCGGTGCCAAGTTCACCAGGAAATCTAACTGCCGGGAACATCAGAAGAAGCACGATCCTGAGTTCAAGAAAATGTATACATGCGATACATGTGGCAGATCATTCCGCAGAGGCACAGACCTCAGAAGGCATGCGGATAGCGTGAGTGAAGTCTGAGACCCCGCCATGGACAGGCGCTAATTGAAGCCGAAGATTCATAAGGGCATCAAAAGATTTCCTTGTGAAATATGCGGTAAGCGTTATAGCCGTTCGGATACTTTAGCCAGGTATGATAATCCCTGCTTTACTGGCCGTACACGCTTTGACACTTCTATTCACAGACACATTGCAACAGATTGCGAGGGTCCCAGTACTGCCAGCGGTACCTTTTAAGGCAGGTTGAGACCATTCAACACATCCCGAGTTCTTTGCAGCCCATTTGGGAGCTACAGGATCGCTCGTCCAAGAGCCAACACTCATCCAACTAAACGCGAAGAAGGGGCTTTCCGGCAAAACTAGATGCGCAGCTTCCACGTCGGTCACGATAGCGCTTTCCATCACCTGCAACCGGGAACCCATTTCCGACCTTGCATGTTTCTCTACATGTGGATTTGTTGGACAGAAGCATTGGGTGGTTTTTCCGGTTATTTTCCTTACTGTTGGTTTCACACATATTTTGCGCTTTTTTGTGATTTTGAGTGCATTAGATTAGCATGGCATTGGGGTCCCATTCGATCTAGGCGTTGAGCGGCTTTTGTTTCCCTTGAGATGCATTGGAGTTGGAATATGCCGGTGGCTTCATATGTCAGATTTATTGGATGTAACATTGATATTCGAACGCGTTCCTACAACCTCGGCCTCTCAAGTGTGTGATATCATTGCAGTTTCCTCAATCTGGCGCGCGGTAAAATGGGCCGCGTCGGCTATCGATATGTTGATCCTGCAAGCACCCCGGCATGAATTGGCATTGGCATTTATTTGTTGCCAGGGTGCCATAGTGTGCACACATAGTTTTGGTTCTTTTCGGCGAGTCATCAAAAATGCCATCATGCATCTCAGCGGCTTTTTTTTCTTTTTTGTTGGGAGGGTGGGGGAATTACAGCATTGCGTTGGTGGCATTTATGCCCTGTTCGCTTTCGCACGAATCATCAAACTTTCCGACGCCCCTTGCCTTTGGCCCGCACGACCTGGGAGATCGAGACTCTTGCCGCGCTCCACCCACAAAGCCGAATCACACGCTAAGCAAGTCGAGCCACAATCGAGATTGACTATTAGCCATGGCAAATGGAAAAGGACATCTCCACGGCCTTGGAAGGGGTACTCCGAAGCAAGCGGCTCACCTACGAATTTATGCTTGGTGCTGAGATCAACGGCCTCGTTCAAATCGCCCCATTATAAGCATGGCCCCAAGGAGGATGACAGGATTAAGAGGCTCAACCTTGAGTGAGGCACGGACTACCTACCGTGTCTCATTTCCTCGCTTAATGAGCCGTGGGATCTGCACTCGTGGCTTCACCACCCTGCACCATGATTTCTCGCAACCTTTGACCGAACCTCCTGTGAGGGATGCTAACTGGGCAAGTGGAGATCGGCCCTCGAATGAGAGTCGTCGCACCCTTAGACTTCGAAGCAGCCGCACACCGGACACCGCGTCTGTTCGCCCCGTTGATCGCCTAGCTTGACTGGGTCCGTGGCCGTTTTCCGTATCTACTAAACCCCGGTCACCTCTTACAGGGGTGTTTTCTTGCTCGCAGGGGCCGAAAAAAGCCGTCGGGTGTGCGCGGATCTTCCTATCCTCCGACCACCCCCTGAAGGAAGACCAGTTCTGAAAAGTGGGACAGGAACGGCCGATGGCTGCCATAGGCCGCTAGGGTGTGCGTGGTTGAAGTTAGTACCGTCAATAAATTCCCCCTTTGCGAAAGGCCTCGCCTGCTCGCCTATGATCGGCGATGATCCCCCATACATAGCTCAGCATATACGCCACGCACAGGCAGCTGCATGATCAGGAGACTCTTCCTGCGTCGTACTGTGATAGCGATTTTGCGGATTTTCGGCGGCGGCGGTTGACCTGGACTGTGCTCTGGGTATCGACGGATGAAAGTGTGGTGCGTGTCAACTTGAAAGAGCCATGCCTATCGCAGGAATGCCTGCCATGAGAGGTATGAAATCAATCACCCTTTAACTGAAAGCTTTTTACCAGCTAATCTGGCCCGAGGAGGTTTCGGCTTATTGATGGCGAAGAAGCATAAAATCCGACATCCCTGTCCAGATCCATGCCCTGTTCCTTTGTCTCATTTCCGAGGGTTTCCTAGCCACAGATGAGCAAAATACACTAATTAACTGCTCGTGATTTCTGCCAAATCTGGAAAGAGGCTACCAATTACTGGCGTCGCATACTCCGTAACAAAATAATAAATAGGGGGTCCAATCGGATTGGGAGCTCGCTTATTACTGGACTTTTAGCGTAGCCAAAGTCCCATTCCGCACGTTTTTGACAGGGATACTGCCATTTCGCCCCTGGAACCTGGGCGCTTGAAATCGGGTAGGCCTTCCTGGCTCCACGAGGGATCTTGAACTCCATCGGCGCTACAACCTGGGGCGGATCCACAACGAGCTAAGAACTGGTGCGACAGGGGAGATGATCAGATCAGCAAGCACGTTCTCGCCAGGGCCAGGATCTGGAACCACGCGAATCAAGGAATTTTAAAATGTTGGTTTTAGGAACTGTGGCTGCCACGTTAGCTTATATTGACGCACTTGGCCCGATATACACACGACATATCGAGGATACTGCGACGCTACCTAATGTTGCCGGGATGTCCACATTCTAAGATTCGACACGCCAATGGCTTTTTTGAACAATAATTATGCCGTTTTTAGTCAATTCTAGTTTATCTGCACAGGATTTGATATATATCCAAGGTATACTCAGTTGTTTATTGACAGAAAGGATAGTTGAAGGCTAGGTGAACGAGCCATGGATTTAGATACGTGTACCTGAACATCTTCGGATTTTGGACACTTCATTTGATGGCCTTCATTCGGAAGTTGATAATATTGAACGAAGAGATATCTAACTTCGCTTTTATCAAAAAATCATCACACCATAGCGCACGGTTAACACCAGAAATCGGCATGTCCTTCGAAATACCAATGGATGTCTCAGGTATAACTAAGCTCAGCTATACACCTTGACCGAATAGACACCATACTAATAAAGAGACAGTAACCGGTATGTTTAATATTGCTTACAGGTACATTCATGAAAAGAAATGCTTATATCATTGGGTGAAGAGCAGCTGCTCGCATCTGCTAGAACTTCTTTATAGCATGTGTATATCTGGTTGTCTCTACTCCCAAAACTGAAACATATATCAGATGTACTTCTACGCCACTTAAACCTTTGGAGGTTTTTTGTCAATCGGAGTAAGGCCAGGAGAGTCCGTCAAGCCCTCTTCTATCTCGTCTGTCTCTTGTGCGTCGTAAATCCGTTTCCTGTAGTGGGTGTTAGAAGTGTACAATGAACATAAAGGACACGGCTCACTCTTTCTCAGCATCTTCCTTATGCTGAAGGCTTCGGATTACCAAGGCAGTTATGATCAAAATGACAGACAGAATAGTCGTGCCGATGAATCCCTTTCGATACTGAGGTGCATCAACTTGGAGCCAAATAATAAGTGGTAGCCAGGCCTGAAAAAAGTAAGCCATTTCGTTCATACTTCCAATCACCAGAGCTCGCTCTTCGTTGTCGCCAGCGCAAATCTCGTGAGCCCAACTGTGACAGGCAAAATGGTTAGAAACTGTATCCTAACTGTATCCTATGCAGAACGAGATCACTTACGCCATGCAGAGACCACTGAGTCCAAATCCACCACCGCAAAGAATATAGCAAGCCCATTTCCAACCAATTGGAATGTCCCAAACTGCCAGGGAGACGTAGCACAAGATGTTGACGCACTGAACATATGTTAGGACTCATTTCCTGGGATACACGAATGTACTCACTGCGCCGAAGATGATAGGTGGCCACCGTCTGCCTTTCAGAACAGTATCAGATAGCCCTAAATGAATATTAGAATCTATGAAGGTGAAACAAGGCAGGCTGCTCACAGGCATAAATCAATGTTGTTACAACTTGGACAGCATAAGTGGTTGTTGGGTATGCGTTTATCTGATCCACGGAGTACTTGGGGTTTGTAGAATCTTTCAAAAACCTACCACAAAAGGTCAGCGGGGCCATAGAGATAAATATTTAAACAAAATTACTTACTGCTGAAATATAGGTTGACTACCTGCAGCGGCATTGTTGAACGATCTGAGAAGAGTTAGCTGACTCGTTGAAACTTCACGCGGTGGCTTGTCTCACACGTATAGGACAATCAAAAGGTAGATATGCCATGAGGTAAATATTTTCTTGAGTTTTGCTCGGGTAAATGGGCCCCGGTTCTGTCGTCCCTCCATCCGCATACGTTTCTGGGCAAGAGCAACTTCCTAGATTGCAGGTTAGCAACGGCATTGATCGGTAGCAAGCGGGCGGTTATAGATACCTCTTTACTGAGGTACCATGGACTCGAGATCTCAGGCACATCAGGCAACACAAAGAATCCGGCCAATGCCACTGGAAGTGAAATAATTCCATTAACCAGAAAGAGCCTATTGAAAAGTCAGAATCTCAAGTTCCTTCTTCTGAATAGCAGGATCCGCTTACCATTGCCAACCTTTGAATCCCCCTTGTCCTCCGAGTCTAAAAACGGCTTCCATAAGGTAACCGGAGAACATGCTTGCAATTCCGCTGCTTGTGTGGAAAATGCACGACCGTTTTGCTAGCTCATCCTTTCGGTACCAGGAACCAATTATGTATTGCATGCCGGGGTAGAAGGTGCTTTCCGCGAGTCCTGCATTAGATCGAGTCAGTTATATTGCTTCAGGCATGTCTTGAAGTAGAAACCTACCGACGAAGAATCTCAACACATAAAATTGGGTAGATGTGTTGCATCTCGACATCGAGAAAGTAAGAACGGTCCAGAGGAGCTGAGAATATGTCAGTAGAGAACGAACCTACTCTAAGAACGGCACAGTACCTCCGCAGCTGGAATCCAGTATCGCGGTCTCACGCGGGTTAAAAGGAGATTGCTCGGAACCTCGCCAATAACGTAGCCGACAGTCCAACACGTCTG